AATTTTTATTTTCAGATCTTTTTTCTTCATAACATTCATTGATCATATTGTTTTAATTAATAATGTTGTTACTAAGAACATACTTCAACTCATAATGTTGTTGTTCAGAATAATTTACTTTATAACAGACATACTCGTATCTTTAAAAAAACATGTATAATTTAATAGAGTAGATAAGCATGCAGAGCATGCAGCATGAAAGCAAGCATGCAGCATCCATTGGTATCTCCTCGTCTCCGGCGCTGCGGGATGTGCAGCCCTTCCGCCCTTGCGTAACGAGGCTCAGGCACCCACGCTTGCTTCCGCAGCTTCGGCTTTTTGGATCGCCATCGGTGCCTTCGGCGCCTCGGCGACCAGCCTCAGCCGCTCCAGCTCACCCGGGCGCCTGAGCCTCGTTACAGCGGGCGAGGGCTGCCCTCCCTCCGCGCCTCCGGCTTTTAAATTACACTCTAGGGGTAGGGCAGACAAGACTACGTGGAGTCGGTTTTGCAGCGATTCGTTTCTGTCACGTTAGTTTTGTGGCACAAAATATTGCCTGTTTTGGACCATTTCAAATTAATTTAATGTTAAAATACGATTTAATACGAATATAGACATCATGATTTTCAATAATATGGATAAATACACTTATGAGTAATAAATTTATGAAAACAAATATTAGGATACATCACATTTATGAATATTATAGTTATTTATTCGAATGATTATGAGTTTCGATCATTAGTATAGAAAAATATATGAAAACAAATATTAGTAAAAACTAAGTGTATGATTAGTGATATTATGAATATCAATGATTATGTTTTTAAATATGTAGGTTTTAAATTTTTTATGAAGAATGATCATTATGATATCAAATTGTATGAGAAATATTTTCGGACCTCCAATGATAGGAATTGAAAAGTTATGTAAGAAAATGCGCTACCGTACTACATACGTTGTCTCTCTTTTTCTCTTTTATAAGTGTAAAAGAGAAAACGTCACGGGCATGGCGACAAAAAGTCAACCTGTGGCTAAGATAGTGGTAAAATTGGTTTAATCCTATCCTACGGTCCTACTAATATTTATAAATGCGAAAGTTTGGATGTCAGGATGTTTGTTACTCTTTCACGCAAAAACTACTGGACGGATTTTGATGAAACTTTACAGTATTATTGTTTACAACCCAGAATAACATAAAGGCTATAATTTATGACGATCTGTGACAAACGAAAATTCACGCGGGTGAAGCCGCGGGCAAAAGCTAGTTATAAATAAACTAAATAAGTATGCGTTTTCAAGGCGAGAGTGAATAGGCACTTACAGGGCAGGTATGTACCATCCTAGACTGCATCTCACTTAACACCAGGTGCGATTGCGGTCAAATACCTGCCTTGGCTAGCATAAAAAAAAAAAGTATTTTAGTAAATTGTTCGTATTGGCCGCTGCGATACAAGCTCTCTTTTAGTAATAAATCCTTTTTTACTTTTTTTTTTAAATAATAATATGAAAGTTATAATTTAAAAAAGTACTTACCGAGATAACCGGTAACAACAACACACAACTCGACCACATGGCTGCTGGCATGCAAATGACACGTTAAATCGTACGTTACAGAACTTATTCTATTTTTATATTGTGCGGGAGAACTTTTTGTAGCTTTAAGTTGTGCAGTGCATTTGGTTTCGGTAGGTTCACTTTGTTGTTTTATTGTTGATTCGACCAAACAAGAGTAAATATTAATCTCGAATAAATCGTCAGTTATTCGACATTTTGACATAATTTCCCATACTGAAACTGTCAATGTGCCAGTTATACCAGGAGCAGGCGGCGTAGCATGGGTTGGCACCGGGGCGATCCCCCCCCCGTCATAACTCCAAGGCACCCTCTGGTACCTGGGGTTACCTACCGATTCGAAGATTGAAAGACAATCCCCCCCCGTATCATGACATAGACCGCAGATGTGCCAGTGAGTTCTAATCTGCGTAATGTTCCCCTGAAAGTGAATAGGTACCTACCTACTCAAGAATCTTTCGCACAATAGTTAATTAAAATAGATTTACAACTCACAATAATGAAGTTAGAGCTTTTAACTGTATTTTTAAGAATTAAAAAAAAACTTCTGGTCTTAACACTGTCAAAATTTTAGACTAACCTACCTAATATCGAGGACTAGGAGACTTTGATTGATCAGAAAAATTAAAAATCATAGATTTTTTTTCAAAAACTCGATGATTTCGACGCATGAAGTTTGAAAAAAATAATTTTGCGACTTTTACTTACAGTTTCAGGACTCTGAAAAACTACCAAATCAATTTACCTACCTACGTTTTCATGTAGATATCTCCTACTATACTAACCATCTGGGAATAAAATACTCTTTGAAACAAAAAAAGTAAGTCTTATTTCCAAATTGGTCCAGGCGTCTTCGAGAAAATGAAATAAAAAAAAAATAAGACCTGCTCCTTTTTTTGAAGGCCGCTAATAATTGATAAAAACGAAAGCGCAAGTTATTCTTACTCTTTCTATCCTACATGTTTAGAATGAAAGGGTCGACCCAAAGGATAGTAAAAGTGGTTATGGGACTTGTTTGTTAGGTTTTTTACAAGGACGGGATGTCCAAGGACGATCGCACCATAATAAACATAATGGAATTTTATTCAGTAGTCTTATTATAATTGTAGACATTGTATTGATTTGCTTTCTATAAAATACTTTATTTATTTAAACTTGTATGCACATAGAGCAGTGTACATAAGGCGGACTTAATGCCTTGGCATTTTCTTCCAGTCAACCTTAGGGCCAAACTGAAAAGTAGGCGACTAGGAGACTTCAACGTGTGTAATAGATTTAAAATATTTTATGAAAGAAAGAAAGAAAGAAACATTTATTGCCACGGACATCACAAAAGAAAAAAGAGATAAAATGAAAAAAAAAGCAAATAAGACAGAGGTGACATAAAACATACAATGAATGAGCAAGTAAACTAAGCAGTGCCACCCTGTCGCACAGCGATGCCCATCGCAATGGGACCCCACTCAGCATATGCCGTGGCCCCCGGTGAGGGAAGCCACGACGCTGGTTTTCAGTGTGCCCCATGCCGAGTGAGAGTCACGGACACTAACCTATACTGCATAAAATATACATACATAAATAATAATTATGCAAATAGGCTTTAAAAAAACATTTTACACGTCCCAGTATTAACCCTACCGCTGCTTCGGGACAATAAATGGGTCAGTACCTACTGAGTGCTGAGAAGAAGCAGCGCAAGAAACTCAGTCACTATTAACTATCATTTCAGCCATAGGACGTCCACTGCTGAACATAGGCCTCCCCCAATGCTTTCCATGTTGATGGCCTGCGTCCAGCGCTTCCCTAGATGATGATAGTTATAAAAATATGACGATTCTACTTTGTAAATTGACACCCAAAAACCACACGTCTTGAACCACGTGAATCCATAAAAATCATTTTTTTCAAAAAGTTATTTTTTTAACTACGGACCTTGATTCTCAAATAACGTCCTAAACACAGTGCGTTAGGGTAGTTATTAGATTGTAGTGCTTTGCCGGATACATGGGAGGAATGTTGGTAAATATCAGATTTTTACTGCGGCCTATTGTACAGTCGGAGGGAAAGGTTTTTGTGGTCATCTCAGAGGGAGGACTGTTTTTTGTTAAAGTTAAACTAAAAATAGAAAGATAGCACCCCTGATACATTGAGTTTGAACGACCCGATTTTGTTTGAGTTACGTATATTACCTACAGCTTTTAAATAAATAAATAAATAAATAAACCTTTATTGTATACCATAACAAAAAAAAAATACAACTTTAACACAGCTTAACAATTAAAAATAAGGTGACAAGGGCATCCGGCTCAGCGTAAGCTGTACGGCACTAGGTCCATGCCCGCGGCTTCACCCATGTGAAATTTAGTTTGTCAGAGAGCGTCATAAATTATAGCCTATATCTTATTCTGCGTTATTATAAACAATAATACTGTAAAGTTTCATCAAAATCCGTTCAGTAGTTTTTGCGTGAAAGAGTAACAAACATGTACAACCTCCAGACATACATACAAACTTTCTCATTTAAATATAGTTACCAACTTCCTCAAAAGCTACATTTTTTGTCATGGCTCGATCTTTGAGAGCTTCGCGTTGTAGCTTTCCAGGGCACTTATACACGTCCCAAATATAGCTTGCCCTACCACCACTTCGGGACAACATATGGGCTAGTGCTGAGAAGAAGTGGCGTAAGAAACTCAGTGTTAATGCGAGTCAGACTTACGTTCAATTTGAGATTCCTTCATCATAATTTCAGCCACAGGAAGTCCACTGCTGTACTTGGTCCAATGATTCCCAGTTTGGCCGGTTAGAAGCATCTCTCACCCTTCTAGCGTTGCGGAGCCTTCCTGGGACCTTTTTCTTCCTGCGATCTGTCCACCTTACAAGATTGACGTCCTACGCTGCGCTTAATTACCAGTTCGTTCGTTTCAGCCGAAAGACGTCCACTGCTGGACAAAGGCCTCCCCCAAGGATTTCCACAAAGACCGGTCCTGCGCCGCTCGCGTCCAGGCACCTCCCGCGACCAATTAAGTAGGTAATTACCAGTACGTGAACCTGGCTGCCCCATCGGCCAGTCAGTTCTGCGTGCTACGTGACTAAGTAGTACTTAATTGCTATAATTTTTCTTAGTGTACATTTATGAAACCATTAGTCGTCGTTTCAGCCAAAAGACGTCCACTGCTGGAGTGCTGGATAAAGGCCTCCCCCAAGGATTTCCATAACAACCGGCCCTGCGTCCAGGTTCTTCCCGCAACCTTCACCAGATTGTTGGTCCACCAAGTGGGAAGCCTGCCCACGCTACGTCTTCAGCCCGTGGTCGCCAGCACCACTCGAGAACTTTTCTGACCCACCGGCATTTTTGTACGGAACCTTAACTTGCGAGATAACATGAACCTAACTGTTTTTTTACTTCACACTTCTGCAAAAAATCTCCCAAAAAACTTTTCTCGCTAACTGTACGAAATCATAAGCAGCGATTCTTTGAAAATGCTTTCATTTCGCTCCTAGTGACTGAGTCTGCCAGTTTGAAGTATAATGTACTGAGTTTGGCTCAAGATCTACAAAATGATAGTTGTGTTGGTTGCTATGCTAGCTGCGGCTATGGCTGGGCCGGCTACGGAAAGTTACAAAGACCAGTGTGAGTTTGAGTTGTGTTTATATGTACATTATTACTAGCTTTCCGCCCGCGGCCGCGCGGTTTCGATTTTGTCCGTCACAGAAAAACTTTATCGCGCGCGTCCCTGTTTCAAAAACCGAGATAAAAACTGTCCTATGTTCTTTCCCGGGACTCAAACTATCTCTATGCCAAATTTCATCAAAATCGGAGCAGTGGTTTAGGCGTGAAAGCCACACAGACAGACAGAGTTACTTTCGCATCCCAACTAATATTATAAATGCGAAAGTAACTCTGTCTGTCTGTCTGTCTGTCTGTCTGTCTGTTACGCTTTCCCGCTTAAACCTCGCAACCGATTTTGATGAAATTTGGCATAGAGATAGTTTGAGTCCCGGGAAAGAACATAGGATAGTTTTTATCCCGGTTTTTGAAACAGGGACGCGCGCGATAAAGTTTTTCTGTGACAGACAAAATTCCACGCGGGCGAAGCCGCGGGCGGAAAGCTAGTTTATAATATTTCGCATTTATGAATTCAGGTACCTACTTAATGGGTCTCTTATTGACATATTTCTCGAATGTTCCACAGACTGCACCGACCCTCGCACAATGCAGAAGCACGCAGCATACACAGAGTGGGCTGACGCGTATTCCTGCACACGTCATCGCTGCCAGCCTGGGGGGAGAAACCTGGCCATTTACACTGTGGGGTAAGTTCTGTAGTCATTTAAAGAAGTCCACTGCTGGATAATTTCCCAAGACATCCATTTCTGGACAAGAGCCTGTTCCTTTCAAAGACCAGGCCAAGCAGACCTGGCGTCATCATCCCTATCCACATTACTTAGATGGTTGGCAGTCCACAGTATCTACCTTTCTCTAGAAACTTCCTGCCCCGTACAACTAAACTGTGGAATGGATTGTCGTCTACGGTATTTCCAGAACGATATGACCTGCAAGCTTTCAAGAGGAGAGCGTATCTACATCTTAAAGGCCGGCAAAAAAAGAAATAGACTTGTCCTGAACTGACCGCATCCAGGGACCTACCGAGATAATCACCAAACTGGTGCTACACTGATTGGGAGAACTAATATGCACTCTATTCTTTAAGTCTACGAGAGACTGTAAAAGCCTCGGTCCACAGTCCAGACCAGAGAAAGAAGCTGTTGAGGGCGTTTAAACTAAATAATTTGTATTGCATAATTTACAGTTAGTTCTGTTAACCTCTCGTGCTATGTTAAATTTAATTATGCTTGTGTCACGAGACAATAGTCCAGCGGGAGGCGAGTTTTGGACCAACGTATCTTGGATCTCGAGTCGGGCAGTCCGCACCTTCAACGTTGGACTATTGGCGCCTCAAATGTCTTTTGATTTGATTGTCATTGGTGTTTGCTACTGAAGAGACTAGTCACGCTACCATGACTGATTTTTTTTTATGCATAACAAGGCAGGTATTTGATGACAATCCACCACAACTGATATTGGATTTGAGTTTCAAATGTAATGACATTTTTTAATTTTAGGTGCAAGCGCGTAGAAGCGCCGGAGTCGGCTATCGAGTGTGAGGAAGTGGTCGAAGACACCAACATGCAGTTTCCCTTCTGCTGCACCAGACTTAGGTAAGAGAGATAATGTTTGTGTATTTTATTGTCATAACAACTATCTAAAAGTAATCTTACAGCCTTTAGTTTTCCCATTTTAACGAAGTTGATGTTGATGATGTTGGAGCGCTGAAACTCATTCAGTATGCGGGCACGAAACTGGCGACGGCCAAGCGACGGCGACGCGACGCGACGGCGGAGCGGCGGCGATGAGGAATAGTATTGCGATCGCCCCTTTTCGTGAGCCTCACCATAATACTGTCCATGTTGCATCACTGCCGCTCCGCCATCGCTCGGCCTTTCGCCAGTTTCGTGCCCGCATACTAAGTTTATTATCAAGCGGTAAAGTCCGGTTTCCGAGCACGTAGATTTCGTCCAATGACCCCAAGCTACCCATCCTTATCGCTCGCGCGTAATTAATGCTCGCACACTCACTGCGGCCGCCCGTCGCACAATCGCGACAGCAATATCACAAAATATAACAGAAGGTAAACTCATGTATGTACCTCGCTTTGCATACCTCTCTCGCTCGCACGCTCGGCCGTCGCGCTAGGGTTGTCTTGTCATGTGTTGCGTTTATTTCGTTATGATAGAAAAATGTAACTCTTAATACTATGCAAGAAAGACAATAACAGATATCCACGTATACTTATTTATATTTAGTACGTTATTATAGTAATAGTTTGCAAACAAATACACGAGAAGGAAGTAGTATTTAGTTGAGTGGTTGACACTATTATCCAACTAATATTATAAATGCGAAAGTTTGGATGTCTGGATGTTTGTTGCTCTTTCACGCGATCACTACTGAACGGATTTTGATGTAACTTTACAGTATTATTGTTTATAACCCTGAATAATATATAGGCTATAATTTATGACGATCTGTGACAAACTAAATTTCACGCGGGTGAAGCCGCGGGCAAAAGCTAGTTATCTAATAATTCCTAAAACCTCTCTAAACAATTCGATATTCCTAATAATTGAGTTGGCTTTCAATTTCAATTGAAATTCAAATAAATAACTTACTTACCTCCCCGAATCAACTGGTAATTTAAAAAATGAAAATTCGGCATTTAATGATGAGTTTAAGCAACCAAATACCGAACAATTAAAATACGACTTTTTCTGTTCACTCATTTTCGTCAATTGCGCAAAACAAAATAATATCACAGGCGGTTGACCGGCGCGTGACTCAAGCGAACCACAGGGAACGTGTGGCGAACGTCTGTCTGTCGCGCCACGTCGCGCTCGCATTCGTCCAAGACAGTCTTGCTCGAGCGGTGTCTGTCTATGTGTGCGTGGCTCGAGCGCGTTTAGTATGGAGTTTGTCTTCTGTTATATTTTGTGGCAATATACCTAACTACGCGTGACCGATAAGGATGGATGGGTAGCTTGGTATCCTTCCGTTTGGCCAAATTACTTTTCGCCAAATTTCACTTCGCAAACAACTTATCGCCAAAGTTTCATTTCCCAAATGAACTTTTAGCAAATGTACTTTTCGCAACTGATTCATTTGGTCAAATTATCATTTGGTCAAATTTTACTTGGCAAATGTTTAAATAGCAAATGTTTTATTTTGCCAAATATTAGATCCCAAATAATTTATTTGGTCAAATTGACACTTCACATTCTTACCCACCGTTACCCACAAATCAAAGCACAAGGCAAATGATCATGGTTTTCACAAGAATTTTATGTAAAACAAAGAGATTGCAGAAAATAGTATAGATGCGAAAGTAGGTTTTGCAGAAAATAGTAGGTTAGGTTAGGTTAGAACAGTGACCCTTAACGCGCGAAGGCGAGCGAAGCGTGCCGCGGCAGCGGCCGCCGAGCGCTAGAATCACCTCTATTGTTAATTAATCATTTAGTTTCGATAAAAATAATGAAATATGAAAATAAATTTAGAACAAATTTTATATTAACTACCCACTAAACAAAATAATAACCACAAGCTAATTTGTATTCCATTTTATGCACCAATCAAATTATTTTGTAAATAGTTTATCGTGAAATATTTTTGCCAAATGAAACATTTGGCAAAACATACTTTGCCAAACAATAATTTGCTCAACAATAATATGCCAAAAAAGACATTTGCGAATTAAAAGTTTGCAATAAGTTGTTTTGCCAAATGAGAATTTGCCAAATGAAAATTTGCGAAACGTTGTTTGCCATGTGATAATTTGGGAAACGTTTTTTGGCCAAACATTAGTAATCCGGGTAGCTTGGGGTCATTAGACGAAATTCTACGTGCTCGGCGACCGGACTTAAGACTCTGGCTAACCAGGAGTTGCCTAAAACCAGATCTGAAATCAGTACATTCTTCAGTTTGTGGTAGCTGCCAAGGTATAGATCTTGGCTACACAGCAGTTGCAGTTGAAATGGGCAGAACGAGGGTTGCAAAACCATTTACCTGTGTTCTTCTAGATGCCTGGTGGTAGTGAGGGGTGAAGTCTGGACCAGGGTGCTGGGGCAGCCGTGGGAGACTCTCCCTGCCGCTCCGTGGAGCCACATGTACAAGATGAAGAAACCGCCTCCAGGGGACAGCACCTTCTTGCCCAAGTGAGTATCAACTGGTCTTCTTAGCCCTTTTGAATCGCGTAATTAAAAACTCTTTCAGTTCATGCTTTTTTTGACACTGTAGGCCCCAGACATGATTCTGAGAAAGGACTAAACATTATGTACCCATGCACTGAAATTATACGTACAGAGATAGTATATATCAAGTTACTGTGGTATTACCTATTATGTATTTTATTTCATTTTGTTGTTATCATCAAGTTTTTTAGACTCCACTGGACCACGACCTTCTATAATCTACAATGACCTATGGAGGATTTGGTCTTCCCACACTGGCCAGATGGTTAGACCTGGTGTTAAATCACACTGAACATAGGCCTCCCCCAATGATTTCCATATTGATTGGTTGATAATGGTCTGCATCCAGCCCCTTCCTACCTTTATGAGGTCGTTGGTTTACCTAGTTGTAGGTGGACGTCGCACGCTGTGCTTTCCGGTATGTGGCCTCCACTCCAGAACCTTGCTGCCCCATAGTTACTGCCCCATCTAATTTGCCAGAGGCTATCTGATCGTTTTATCCACGAAGACGCGCCCCACTAATTTTTGGTCGCGGGGAGTTCGGTCCGGGCAATCCAAGCGTTATTATTGTGGTGTGCGTGTGCACTCATGGATGATTTAGCGTGTACCGATAACACTCAAACATTAGCGGAAGAATGGTGGGGCGCGACTTCGTGGACGATCTATAATGGAGGAGGTTTGTGTATTTCTCCCTTAATCGCATTAACATCATGGGAAGAGTGGGCCTGGTCCTCTCTGATCCACGACTATTATGCTCGTTTTCGCCATCAGTCCCTAATTTTTAAGTGACCCCTATGGTAACACATAACAGGAATTTTGTTTCTTTATAGGGGTCACTTAAAAATTAGGGATTGATGGTGAAATTACAGGGATGTTTTTTAGATCTCCCAACGAAGGTCCGATCTACGAACTAGCGTCAGACACTGAGGACAGGGAGAAGGTGCTCCGAGCCAACAAGAAGAGTACCACGGAGTCGCCGGATTGCAACGAGGTGGCGCCACGAGCGGTGCCCACGCCCGACATCGTTGTGAGAACATTTTGTATTATTACGAGTATTTTTAAATCTCACGTCACCCTATGATTTTACAATCTGTTAGCGAAGCTGTGCAAGTTTTCAACTGTCTTGTTCTTCGCAATCTTACAATAGCATAGAGCTGGGATGATGAAGGTGAACCTATGGCACGCGGTACAATATTTTGGGCACGCCATCGATCACAAAGTATGAAACAAAATCAGCCTTGCTAGCGATATTCTTTGTCAAAACTGAGTTATCTACACTAATATTAAAAGAGGATTAAGATTTTATTGTTTATTTGTTTAGATCTTTTTATAGTCACTCTGCATTTTCGTAACAGTCACTCTGCAATTTTGCCATCTTTCAATACTAACTGAAGTCTGCAATCTTGCAATATTCACTTAGTACCTAATGCAACAGTCACTCTGCAATTCTGTAATTTTTCAATAGTCACTCTGCAATTCTGCCATCTTTCAATAGTTACTCTGCCAACATTTTGACACTTTGTAATAATTTACCATAGGGTTTGCGCTTGTCTTTCCTTATTAACTATTATGTTTGTCGTTCGTTTCCTCTACAACAAATAGAATAAGCAACGTACAATTTCTGCGTTCACAGATCGCGCTGTCGACCAACAACGACGTGAAAGAACACAAAAAGAACGAGAATACAAGGTTAAAGAAATATAGACTTAAAATAAAACTACTAGATAGGGCTCAAAATAATAAATTAGGGCTACAGCAGACATGCTACTTTTTCCTAGGCGCAGACCACCGACAGATCAATAAGTAAGTATGTACCTAATTGAAGGGAACGTTCCTGAGTGACGCTGATCGCTCGGCGCCGACGCTTAATACATTTCAGCTGTCAGCGCTGACGGTCAGCGTGCGTCAGCGTGACTCTAAAACCAGCCTAAGACACCCGTGCGCGCGCGCCTTTAGCAGCGCAGTGATAAAATTTTATCGATGTATGGGCTATCGCGTAAAATCGATAAAAATGCCGCGATAAAAGCTACTGCGCACCTTATGTGAGGAATACCTTCGTTCAGTCCTATCTAGTATGTAGTTCGTAAGTCTGTGTAAAACAATAATGTTTTCTGGATCTATTATTTTTTTATACTTTTGAAGATATTAATGTACCGGTTTGAAGGAACAAGTTGCGTAGGTAAGGGTTAAAAAGATTTTATTATACTTATTTTTATTTTCTGGAAAGGGTTGGCCATTTCACCCTTTATAGGGTAGCCTTGCTAATATAATTTGAACCATATTCACTTGACATAAGATGGAGGAAACAATTTTTTTTAACATGTGCCATAAAGAGGGTAGTTAAAGTTTTTTATTGTAAACGACTTCACCCTTAAGATCTCGGACTGATACGAAAGTTAATGGGTCAAAAAACGCGCTCGTAAAATAAATTCTAAATGATTCTTTTTTACAAGCTTTTTATTACTTTCACATGTTTTTTATAGTAAACCAAGCATTTAGCTGAATGGATAGGGGGCTTGTTCCCACGAAGACATCCTGTTTTTTGCAGGAACTGCTTTTTGTAGTCGATTTTTGAGTGACCCCTATGGTCACACATAACAGGAATTTTGTTTTCATAGGGGTCACTTAAAAATTTGGGATTCATGGTGAAAACGGGCATAAGTGTTTTAATGTTAAGGTTCACAAGAACATCCCCTTTACTTAGTGTCCCGCAAAAAACGGAACCATTCGAATTTATAATTGGTGTTTCCAGTTTGCACGAACGTCCAGATTTGCGGGATTCTTCTGCATTACTCGATTGCCTTGGGAACAAGTTACATGGATGATAATATTATAAAAAATCCATAATATTTTTACCCGACTACGCCATAAGGGTTATGCTTATCCATTTTTTTAAATTTATTATTTTTTTTACCAACTAAAGGCACAAAAGAGTAAGGAAGCAGCCGCCTACCGGTCCATTTTACGAAGAAGAATTATCTGAGCACCACAACGAAGTGGATAATGAAGAATCTATGCCGACTGAGAAGGTAAGAACTGACCTAAGAGTTCACCTAAATAATCCATTCTTTTTCCTTAGCTTAAAGGATCACTGGCAGAGAATGCTTTATGGCATTAAGTTCGCATTAATTATGTAGGTAATTAATAACATAACAAATATAATTTTCTTATAAGGAATACGAGGAATGAAGAGTTAGAAGGCATGTTTTTATAATACTATACTTACTAGGTATAACTGTTTTAGTTAATTAAATTACTTTATACGTTTCAGCCAGCTGACCCTATTTCGGAAGAGAAATTCTACGTAAACGCTTATGGAGTCACACAAAAACCATACAAGGTAATAAAAACAAAAAAAATAAATTATTTACTAACATTGAGGAAGGCGATTTTATGTTTAACTAGCGGCCGCCCGCGATTTCGTACGCGTGGATCCCGTTTTACCCCCTTAGGAGTGGAGTTTCGTAAAATCCTTTCTTAGCGGATGCCTACGTCATAACATCTACCTGCATGCCCAGCCCGATCCGTCCAGTGGTTTGGGCTGTGCGTTGATGGATCACTATGTCAGTCAGTCAGTCAGTCAGTCACCTTTGAGTTATTATATTTAGATTAAAATGTATGTTTATTTATTACAGTCTCAGCACCACCAAGTGGCGTGGACGGAGATCCCGAATGGCCAGTGGAACGAACACGAGCCTATTCCAGATGTTGACACCACGGTCCGGGTATGACATCAATTAATGACTTTCTTACTTGAAATAGCAGGCCTTTCCAAACTTTTTACTGTGACGCCCTTGGGAATATGCCATTTTTTCGACAAATCAATTAAAATCAAAACATAAGAATGCAAATTAAATGAGGTAAGCAGATTTTACAGCTCGTAGACATGATGACCACCCAAGCAGCTTGGGGCAGAAAAGTTCTCAAGTGGCGACCACAGGCCGGAAGACGTCGTGTGGACAGGCCTCTTCGGCAGATTTATTTATTTATATTAGGTAGACCAGGGCACAAAATCCTATTTTGTGACCAGGGTTTACATAGTCTCAGTTATTATTAGTACCTTCTACCGTTTTTTCTATTTATATTTCAACCGGCAGACAGTGGTGACTGAGTTTGTTTCGGCGCTTCTTCTCAGCACTTGCCAAATGTTGGTCTCGAAGCGCTGGTACAAAAAGATTATGAGACATGTGAAGGTTCCATAAGAGCAAAGCTTCTTTTTCATTACTCTTTTTTTTAAATGAAAATATTTGACGATTTGACCTACTTACTATTCTAAGCAATTAAGAAATTTTGACTTAAACTTTGACTTTGAAATGTCTTCAGGACGGTAGCCACCAGCCCGAGTTCCCACCTCTAGAAGAGAAGCAGCCAGTCTTCAAGGAAGAGAAACCTACCAACCTCCAAGCGTTGGTAGACGCCATCGGCACCAGGATGAGAGACATCGAAAACGTGGTGCAAAGGATGAGCGAGAAGGTACATCAGGCAAAGACTCCCACTCCGGAGTTTAGCAGTGCTGAGAAGAGGTAAGAACTAAGGGCTCTTAGAAAACGTTTTTGCAGGCACCGTTTTTGTAGGATAGGCTAAGGCTGGTTTTAGTGTCACGCGGACCGTCCGGTGCGGACCCGCTCCGCACGGGCAATCTGTATGAACTTCTAGGGAGCGTTTTAGAGTAATGCGGTCCAGAACCGCTCCGCTAGGTCAAAGCAGAGTTATCAACTCGGAAATGGATCAACGCCGTATCGCATTTCGCGAGCTGTCATCGCCTTTCGCAACCGCGAGGTGAGGCGTTTATGTTACGGTGCGGATACGTGTGCGTTGCGGTATGGAGTTTCATACGAATAATACTGAGCGCCTTGAGTGGATACGGTTACGATCCCTTTCTGGGTTGATAAGTGTGCTACGACCTTAATACGTGTTTTAATATGACATTCACACAAACGACCCGTTTGCGGGAACCTCTTCTTTCTGAATCTCGTTCCCATCGCTGCTAATCCTGTGTAGCCAGGACCTACAGCTTGACCGCCAAAACCCAAGCAATCCAGGCCAAGTTTCTCCCGGGGGCGGGGGGAAAGTTAAACTGTCATTGGACCCGCAACGAAATTAACCAGAAGAAGATAGGGCAAATTTAAAGAGTTTTTTTTAACAAACTGAGGAAAAAACAGTAATTGTCCAAAGTGGGAATAGCCCGTTTTGAACTCCTCAATTTGCGTCGAAACCAGCAGCTACCTACCTAATGGTTTAGGATGCGCGCTTCGACAAACTTTAATCGATTTTGCACGATAAGCCCATACATTTGTCGTCTAAAATCATCGATAAGATTTTATCAACTCATCTTGACAGCCAATTGATCAAGAGTCCAAATGTCTAATTAAAATGTTACTAGCTGTGCCCCGCGGTGTTGCCCGCGGTAAAACGTAGCCTATATGTTAGTTCAGGGTGTCAGCTAACTCCATACCAAATATTAAAATAGCTCCAGCCGTTTAGACGTGAAGAAGTAACAAACATACACACTCACAAACTTTTGCCTTTATAATATTAGTGTGATTATCCGTACCTACTACCAACGAAGTTACATCGACCGTGTTTCAACAGGTCACTGTCAGATGTGGAAGGAACCCCTCCACCGAGGAAACACCATAAAGGGGAGAAGGAACACGGCAAGGACCGGACTAAGAGACCCAACCCTGATGGAGACCATTACAAAAGGTAACTTTTAATCAAACCGAATCTTACTAATTTTCTCTTGCAAGTTGGATAAAAGACTCCCCCAAGGTTTTCTACAACGATAGACGGAAGACGTAGTGGTATGTCTCCCAATCGGTGAACCGATGCTTTCATGAAGGTCGCGGGAAGCACCTGGATCCGGGCAGGCACTAGTCATTGTCAATATCCTTAGCAGGCCTGTGACCAGCTTTCCTTTGGTTGTAACGACTTACAATAGTCAACGGTGTTCTTCTTCTTCTTTTCGTGTCGACAACAAACCTACACAGTGTCAGCCCAAAACTTCGCCACAAGAGTGGCGTTGTCAGCAGCACTCATCAAATCCTCCTGAGTGCAGTTGCTTGGGCACTCAGGGCACGACATCAGGTTCTTCATCGACTGGGGAACAAAACCGCACCGGCCACTCCATGTTTAAGGCATCCAAGGATCCCCAACGGTGGTTATAAATCTACTCTTGGGGCACACTGAAAACCAGCGTCGTGAGTCACAGCATATTATGTTGATATGCCCTTCGAGCATAATTATCAAGATAAATGGTAAGTACTTACACCGCAGGAGAACCAAATTGACTGACATAGCCCGCTGAATCGCTAGAATCAAGTGGCAGTGGGCGGGGCACATAGCTCGTAGAGCTGATGGCCGCTGGGGCAGGAAAGTTCTCGGGTGGCGACCACGAGCCGGAAGACGTAGTGTGGGCAGGCGTCCCACTAGGTGGACTGACGATTTGTAGGCCTAGCGGTCAAGCGGTTATCACGCCATTTTATCGATTTTGCCCATACATTTTGACGTCGATAAAGTATATCACTTACTTACTCACGAAATCCTTGGGGGAGGCCTTTCACCTTTGTCCAGCAGTGGACGTCATTCGGCTGAAACGAACGAAAGTACTTACTGTCTATAAAGACTTTCTATACTATTTTAATTCACGAATTTCCCCAGGTTCTCAGTAAGGAATAGAGGCAGCAAGTACCTCCACGCAGCGACAGACAGCACGACTGAACAGCCTCTCTTCGTGGAAGACAACAACATGAACGGCTACTTCAGCGACGCTAGCAACAGCGTGCTGAGGAGAGCTAACCCTCCCAAGGTTGGTACTTGAATCTATAGCTATAGTTAGTTTTAATCCGCGGGCAAAATGCCCTGAATCAATCGGCTTGACCATTACTTTACCATCAGGTGAGGATACAGGCCAAGAGCTTCCTCGTTGTGGATAAAAAAAATGCAGTAGACTCGAGAGGTCTGAGAGACTGGCTCATCAACACAGGCAACAAGTTTGTTTTTAACATGTGTGCGAGGAATACAATTTTTTTTTCGAAATTCAATCCTTTAGAGGGATGAAGCTATTTCTGTTATAAAAGTTCACTAACTGATCTATCCACACTAATCCACACACAGCTCAAACACCTAAAATTGCACTAAAATTCAGTACGCAGGTAAGTAGGTACACATAGTTATTAAAACGTAGACATCCACTAAATAATTTTCCAAAATTCACCCCCTAAGGGGATGTAATGGGCGATGGGGAAGGCAAATTAGATTTTTTAGGGAACACCCCCTTTTCGTTTCCCCATCCCCGTTTCGATACCGATCGGAAGTTCCATTTAGTGTCCGACCGAATATGGATTTTAAGCCGAAAACGGAAACGAAAACGAAGCTTCGGCTGCAGTCTCATTTTCGGCCGAAAACGAAAACGAAAATGACCTTCAACTCTCAAATTTTAATCTGAAATTATGTAAAAACTTTGAAAACCGTTAATGTTTTGACCAAAAACATAATGATGTTTGACAGTTGTTTTTGATAAGGATTGATTAAAGAAAACCGGCATTAAAACACAAAAAAATGAATTATGAATTCTTAGTAGAATATTATTTCCGGTGTATATTGAAATATTGGGAAGTGAAGAAGAAATAAAGGGTGTCCAGTGGGAATTTTTCAACTTCAAAAATGATTCATACAAATAAATTAATATTTTTTTATTAATTATTACTAATGCAAACTGGAGTTTAACAATGCGGATATATTTTTTTATAGGCAATGTCTTTTTAATGATGCCCGTTTTACTATAGGCACTCTCACAGCCGGACCCTTACATTCGCAACTATGCGAGAGCAAATCGCGATAATAATTTTCCTGCAACTTCACGGCGGATATTTTCTTACAGAACCTGAATTATTTAAGGATAGTTTTGCTGTAAACTTTTGACTTGAGATATCCCCACAAGAAAAAGTCGCATGGTGTGAGATCTGATGACCGAGGCGGCTAGAAAAAATAGTCCTCAGTGTCTCCTTCGAGGTACTCTCCGTGTGTGGTGAGACACCTTCTTGCTGTGAAGCAAGACACATCGACCAGTGACTCATGGCGTATTTCAAATCCGCATTAGACTCTATTTTGAAACAATTAAACTTATTGAAAACTCTTTGGTTTTATTTGTATTCAATTTTGAACTTGGAAAATTTTCGCTGGACACCCTTTACAATGTAACCTCACTTCAAAACTTCAAAAGAGTGTGACAATACCGCGTCCGTTCAAGTCTGATTGGAACCATGAGTGCATCAGATTCACTCCCGAAGATATCGGAACGATAAACGTCACCATCTTATTCACGTATTTCTGATATTCGGTTTGGCCGAAGCTTCGGCTGGTTTTTGGCCGAAAACGAAAATATGGCCGAATGTCCATTTATTGGCCGAAAATGGCCGAAAACGAAAACGAAAACGAATATTCGGTCGGTCACTAGTTCCATTTCTAGCCCCCCTAGACCATTGCAAGACATGACCGTTGCGATTTCAAAATCCATTCGCTCCCGCGCTTACTCTTTAGTTACTTCGCTCCGTGAAACGATTTCGATATCGCAGCTGTTACGTTTTGCCACTTATCTAGCCCTGAAGTGATTTCGAATTAAGTAGGTACAACTGCCACGTTTTACCACTTATCTAGGGGGGTAGTTTCCCCTGCCCCCCTCGTCATTGCCCATAGACGCCTCTTAAAGGACGAAGCACACTTATCAAAACGGAAACGGATCGTAACCGTATCAACTTACTGCAACGTACACTTATCCGCGCCGTAACGCAAACGCCTTCCCTCACGGTGGACAGCGCGCGAAAGGATACAGTGTTGATGTTGCAGTCAAAATTATTAGTCGGTCAAAACCAGTTTTGACTGATTTCAAAAGTGGTATATTGGTGGATATTGACCAAGGGCATCAGTCAAACAGTGGTTTTGACCGATTATTATGAGTTTTGATGGTTACAGGAGGGCCCCCGCTGAAAATCAGTTTTAAGATAAGCCGCCAGGTCTTGATGTATGCTGAGCGGGTGCCTTTTTGTCACAGGGACACAAGCAGTTATCTGTCCACTTATGTATCTCTCTCTGTATGTATCTATGTCTTGCCTGCTTGTATACCTTTCTTTCAAATAAAAAGTTTTCTATTCTATTCTTAGTCAACCCCTTGATCCCTTTCCGAGTTGATAAGTGTGCTATGACCTCAAAGCTTCCTGACCGATGTTTTTGCCCTCAGCTGAGGGACGCCGACGCCAACTCGACGAGTGGCGAGCGCATCGCTCCGGAGGCTTTGGAGGGCCATGACGACACATACATAAGCCATAGGCACTGCAACCATAGCGCTATTGTGAGTATAGTCTGGTCTGTGAGCACGTAGAATTCTGTCCAATGACCCCAAGCTACCCATCCTTATCGCTCACGCGTAATTATGTTGCTGTCGCGCTCGCACATTCACTGCGGGCGCCCGTCGCACAGTCGCGATAAGGATGGGTAGCTTGGGGCACAAAATATAACAGAAGGTAAACTCATGTATGTACCTCGCTTTGCATACCTCTCTCGCTCGCACGCTCGGCCGTCGCGCTAGGGTTGTCTTGTCATGTGTTGCGTTTATTTCGTTATGATAGAAAAATGTAACTCTTAATACTATGCAAGAAAGACAATAACAGATATCCACGTATACTTATTTATATTTAGTACGTTATTATAGTAATAGTTTGCAAACAAATACACGAGAAGGAAGTAGTATTTAGTTGAGTGGTTGACACTATTATCCAACTAATATTATAAATGCGAAAGTTTGGATGTCTGGATGTTTGTTGCTCTTTCACGCGATCACTACTGAACGGATTTTGATGTAACTTTACAGTATTATTGTTTATAACCCTGAATAATATATAGGCTATAATTTATGACGATCTGTGACAAACTAAATTTCACGCGGGTGAAGCCGCGGGCAAAAGCTAGTTATCTAATAATTCCTAAAACCTCTCTAAACAATTCGATATTCCTAATAATTGAGTTGGCTTTCAATTTCAATTGAAATTCAAATAAATAACTTACTTACCTCCCCGAATCAACTGGTAATTTAAAAAATGAAAATTCGGCATTTAATGATGAGTTTAAGCAACCAAATACCGAACAATTAAAATACGACTTTTTCTGTTCACTCATTTTCGTCAATTGCGCAAAACAAAATAATATCACAGGCGGTTGACCGGCGCGTGACTCAAGCGAACCACAGGGAACGTGTGGCGAACGTCTGTCTGTCGCGCCACGTCGCGCTCGCATTCGTCCAAGACAGTCTTGCTCGAGCGGTGTCTGTCTATGTGTGCGTGGCTCGAGCGCGTTTAGTATGGAGTTTGTCTTCTGTTATATTTTGTGCTTGGGGTCATTGGACAAAATTCTACGTGCTCACAGACCGGGCTTTAGAAACACTGAATAATAATATGTATACGTACAGAAAGTTTTCTTTGCGATGGTATTTAAAAAGAAAACTACTCAATGTCCTCAACAATATGGTGTAATTTAGCTGGTCTCAGAGCCGAGCACCGTTTCGTTTACATGCGTCAGTGATCGATACTGTGCCGATGCGATTGGGAAAGAAGAAAAAATACGCGTGTGGTGCGCTACACCACACGCGTATTTTTTCTTCTTTCCATACTCAGATTAAGGATCCTGGTCTTAGTTTCCATAGCTTTTGAACCTTCTGGATTGAACCGCGCGTGTTTTGTTTTCGATGCCTACCTACTCGGGAGATGAACAGACCTGGTAGAATGTATTAATTTAACTGCAGATCCAAGGTAGGGTTCGATTCCCAGAGCGGGCAGATATTTCTGTTCGGTTTGGTTGGTGGTAGGGCTTGTTCTGCCACCTGGCTAGCTACCACCGTCTTACCTAAGTCTGTCACACCCAAAGTAGCCAAAAACACGTCTTTAGGGATGTTTCCTGGGTATAAAAGCGAGAGTTTTAATTAGTCCGTCAGTTACTTATCAAAAAATACTCGACACGTATTTTTCACTTTTTCAAAATAATGAAAATTTTAAGAGATAAAGCGCGCCAAAGTTCAAAAGAAGAGGGCCGTGACGTCAATGAGTGCTTAAATAAAAGTGCAGCACTGTGAAAAAAAAAATTAAGAAACTCGCCTAATAAGGTTGTGTTGCCATCTTTTTGGCCACTTTGGGTGCAACAAACTATTTTACGAAAATAATCTAAAATACAACTTTCAAATTGTTCCAGGAGCCCCAAGCCACCTACATGGCCCCTGTCGAAAATCGTCGCAAGTCCACCCACATCCTATCAGACGTCTCAGAAGAACTGGAGAAGAAGAAGAAAAAACACTCGCATAAGAAGAAGAAAGGCAAAGGCAGAAACCATAAGAAACACCATAAAGAAGACAAGAAGAAGCGAGTGAATAAAGTTAACTCCGTGGAGCTGGATAGGAATGTGGTCTCGCTAGAAGACAGTAGTGCTATGGCTAGGAAATGATTCCCAATAGTACTTACAGACAAACCTATCGAAACAACACACAAAGGCTCAGAACAGACGGTGAAACGCAAATGCAACGAAACTGCAACTTTCTGATCGTTCTGATGCAACTTTCTGTTGATTCTGATGAATGAAACTGAAACTGAAAGTTTCAAACTGGTCGCGTCATGTGTGGTCTCTCAACGGACGCTATGGCAGAAACTTAGATGCAATTAACTCAAAAACAGTTGCAGTTTCGTTGCAGTTGCGTTTCACCGTCTGTTCTGGGCCTAAGTTCTCTTCAAATAATGATCATTTTAGCCACAGGACGTCCACTGCTGAACATAGGCCTCCCCCAATGATTTCCATATTGGCCGGTTGGTAGCGGCCTGCGTCCAGCGCCTTCCTGCTATCTTTATGAGGTCGTCGGTCCACCTTAGGACGTCCTACACTGCGTTTTCCGGTACGTGGCCTCCATTCCAGAACCTCGCTGCCCTCTTCAAATAGTAATATTACTAAACTAGACAAGCTATTTGGAATAAGTCTGGTTATAAGTACTTAATGCCCATTTTCACCATCAATCCCTAATTGTTAAGTGACCCCTATTGGTAACACATAATAGGAATTTTGTTTTCAAAGGGGTCACTGAAAAATTAGGGATTGAGGGCGAAAACGGGCATTAGTCTTTTATTTTTGATTTATTTAAATAATAGCTTTTGATGAGCTTCCTTCACGCGTGAAATTCAGTTTGTTACAGATGTAAAAATTATAATATTGTAGTTTCATCAAAATCCTTTCAGTAGTTTTTGCGTGAAAGAGTAACAAACATCCATACAAACTTTCGCCTTTATAATATTAGTAAGATTTTGTTGCAAAACAGCAACAAAATCTTACTATATATTCAAATGTAGATTTTAACTGTATTATGTTCTTCATAAGCCTTGATAAATGGCTCTGCCATTATAAAAACTTGTGTATTTTAGTAATCCTTAGCCATTTGTTGAAGTGTTTTTTGTGGTTTTATTTGAAGGTATATTTAAGTATAATAAAGTTAACTACTGACCTACTTAGATAAAAAAAATTAAATCAATAAAACAATAAAATATACGTCTTTGCATTTATTTACAACATAATTTTTAACAAGCTTAAAATTTAACTATCATCTATCTACATATACTAGTGTACAACAAAATGCATATAATACATATAATTTACATACAAGTCTATTCATTTATTATTTATAATATTCAGTAGAAGAGGTATAGATTGTTTCATCCACGAAGACGCGCCCCACCATTCTTCCGCTAATGTTTGAGTGTTATCGGTACACGCTAAATGCTCCATGAGTGCACACACACACTACAGTAATGCCTTACGGCTTGCTCGGACCACACTCCCCGCACCCCGCGCGACCGAGACCAAACATTTGTGAGGCGTGTCTTTGTGGATGAAACGAACTATTATGTATATGTATAGATGTGCAAGTTACTTGGTAGACAATACATAGCAAGGTGTTATATTTATTCATAAATAAATCTAAGTCCTGTATTAGTTTAAAACTGAGAAAGTCTCTCTGATATGATCTGTCCAAAGATATTTTTCCATGAATGGTGAAACCAGTTGGCTTCTATCGAAAATATTAGTATTGCCAACTATAATCCCTGGCTATTGTATATGTCACCATTAAATTGTACACTCCGTCAATTTATAATATAACACGTGAGATTATACTAACGCGCGTGGACGGCGCAGGGTGACACACGAACCAATCACAGAGCTCTATTCAACGCTGTGCGTTCGATTTTCTGCTTCACTTAAGCAAACATTGTTTGTGAATACTGGTATAATAGTGGTTTAGGTTACATTAGATTGTAATCTGATGGAATTCACAATTTAATGGTGACATTTACATTATACACCCAATAAAATAAAGTCACTAAAAGACTTGACGTTCTGGAAACTATGTAGTTAGTTTGTATACGTAATTTGACTGTGTACTTACAGTTCCGAGCTAGTTCATTCACTAACTACATCAGACTATTGGTTATTACGAGTATTATAAATAAAAAGTTTTGTTTATAACACAAAAATGGGCAGTGCAATATAAAACGTATACTACCCGTTCGTGAGTGATGTCATATCGTCAGCGGCAAACTTATCGCGAACGGAGTACATTATTGAGGGTAGAAAGTGTAGCTTAAAACAAGTTAAAATTATTTGTGTAAAACATTTTGTTCTTTATAGATTTTGTTTTTATGACTACAAAACAACTTCTTTTGAATATCACAAAAGCTAGCTGTACTTATTTTGAATATTGTAACATCTTTTTAGTAGCTGCAAATAATTTTCTACAAATATTTCTGTAATAGCATCTGAGTTTAAACCTAAAAAACATTGAAATTTTTCACAATTAACAAACACAAAAAGTACAGTGATATCTTCGTAAAGCTGTAACGGATAACAATCTAACTTACATTTTACTGGTGTATATTTTCGATCACTAGCTTCTCTGTGCTGTACATATCTCCGATCACGACCTGTAATACGTAAAAATTACATTTAACTGACGTAGATTTGTTATCTCTGAAAACCTGGATTGTGGAGACCAGAAGACGGACATATCAACAGGTTTTATTAAAACTTGTAATCGTAATAAACTGTAATTGAAATTTCAATCAGCCGTTGAGTCAGCAAGACTGGTAGAGATTTTTTTTTCTGCATAACAAGGCAGTTATTGGACCACAATTGCACCTGATGTTAAGTGGGATGCACAGGTACATAATAATCTGCCCTGTAAGTGCCTATTCACTCTCGCCTTGAAAAGGCCCGGATCATAGTCTTCGGGAAAGACAGCAGCAGATGTTATAAGGCATTATCAAAAATCAAAATCAAAAATATTTATTCAGTTTAGACCACAAGTGGCACTTATGATTAAGTTCGCCAATCGTATTTTCTTCATGGGATAAGGTTTAAATAAATATACATACCTGACGTCTAATGATGCCCAAGTTTTCCTTTGCATAATCAAACTCCTTCTTAACAAGTTTAGGATTTGATAGAGTTTTGTTAGCCCTAAATGCATCTTGAACTTTCCTAAGAGCGTAGGACCTGAAATTTATTAACTACAATATAGAGAAAGTGACTTGAAACTCCATGTTGAAGTGAAAATAGCTCAATTTGCTATATTTAAAATGTAAAGCAACCATGAAACTGTAATAGGAATATTTTTAGCTAGCAGAAAACTACAAATTTTGTTGCAATCTTATGCAAAATACGATAATTTATACAATTTTGAGGTTATGTAATATTTTTCAAATAAATCTGCAGTTACCTGAAGTTGTAATTGGGAAACTTCTGAGATTCTCTCATAAGTAATTTATACATCGAAAGAATTTGCATCTTTGGTACGCCTGAAGACATTTTCAGATTTTTTTAGAAGGTTCAATTTTCACAAGAATTTTTCAGGGAAAATTGTGTAAATAAAAGTACGTTCGGTTTTGCGCAGTTAATGCTTATGTCAAAAGAAAAAGTTGATTTATTTCATAATTATTCATTTTAAAAATCAAAATTACAATAAATAAGTAAAATTGTTGTTTTAAATAGACATACAAATAAATAATTTATAATAAAACAGACTAATTATGATTTAAATCAGTATTAAACATGATTGTAAAACTTAGAACGGAACGTTATATCTACACTCGTTCCGTTTAAGGCACTTGTTTATTCAAAATAAATAATAAAAATATGAACTTTTAGGACCCGTAATATTCTTATTTGTAAGAAAAAATTTTTTACTCTAAGTAAATAAATAATGAAAATATTATGTAATAAATTAAATTAGAAACCAAACCTTCCTACAAAATGTTTACGTGATCGCACTTGCACAAGTCGACCGACAAAAAAATTTATATGTCAAAAAAGTGTTGCTATTTTAAGAATTTCTCCACTTAATTAGGATATTTAATTGAAATACTCGAAACTAAAAGCAATATCATAATATAGGCCCTGTTGTGGCCCCTGTGCCACTCATTTTTATACTTTTACATACATAAAAAAGTTCACAACCACTTTGTAAGACAAATCCACCAGGAAATTTGACTACTACAAAGGTTGATGAGAATCATTCGTTTCTATTATTAAGTTAAAAAATAAAGAAGGTTAAAAACATAGGTGTTATAAGAATAGGATAATTCATCCATATTCATTTAATTTTCATCATGCAACTAGTAGGTAACTTACTGTACCACCATCCATACAAATATTGTAGGAACATCCGGTGCATTTTCAAATTTCAACTTAGGGAATTTATATGAGGTATCATGGCAACACCAAATTAGTCGCAGTCATGTATTGAGCGAGGCATAGTGTATCAATGTGAATTTTAACGTTAAATTAAATATTTAACCACCATAACAACATCAAAATTTATTTAACCAAAACTGCTATCATTTGGTGATCGTTTGCAATCGACCGAGTTATTTTACAGTGAGTATTTTCAGTTGAAATACGTACGTACATATTGTGTTGATATTTACGTACATGTAATTTAGTTTTCAGCATAATCTGGTGTCTAGAATAGCCTTGTATACCTAGTAGTTGCGAAGAACGTGGGATATTAATCATATTCTTTATTGGAAGTAACTATTCTTGAGCTATAAATAACCTCTGAGGTAGGTAAACAATCCAACACTCTTGTTGTGTAATTTTTTCTTATTGGGTTAGGGTACTCATCATGCATGCAATGTTTATATTAGTAACATCGTTGCTCCAGTTGGTCTCTGACTGTCTAAGTAATATTAATTACTGTGTAACCTTATTTCTGGTGTTGAAATCATGTTGAGTAACTTAACTTTGTAAAGATCTAATAGGCTATCATACAAGAAAATTACTTTTTTTAATGGACAGTTTTACAAGGCATTCTGTAAATTCTCAGTAATTAATTTTAATGTAACAAAGTGGGTATTTCCACGCGACTTTGTTGTGTTTTAATTGCTTTTATGATAGATATTTACATATCTGTGTATTTTTATACAAGTGTGTGTGACATTGGTCAGATTATGAGGACAAGTTTTATTCTCATTGTTAATGTTTTTTTTTAGAATAATTTAAATAATTTAAATCTTATGTTAGTACAATTTTTCAATTGAGTTTCCTGTAGTAAAGCCATAAGTGACTAAAGTAACTTTCATAACTTTCTATTAATCCTAAAGAAGTGATAGGACTACATATGTCTAGGGACGTACCTACTGAGTGCTCTAAAGTTTGGTAAAATTTTTCTAGACTGCATTTGATTTTGTGTTGAATCTTTGGTCTTTACATCTCTAAAAGGTAGGTAGGTTTGTCTTTCCCCAGAGATGTGCATAGTGGATATAAACAAATTCTTCTACTAATATGAAGATCTTAATTTCTTAATATTCACTATATGTATTTTATTGAAAATTCACATTTTTACAACTGCATGAGATATGTCAGTGCTTAAATGAAATATGAACGGTGATAAGTTAATAATCAAAGTAAAAAGTGGTTTAAAATTCAATGAAGTTCAAAGTTTTAATAAATATTTTTCTGTTTTAAAAATATGATAGTACGTCTTCAATGAAACCAAATAAAATCTATATCCTGGTGCCTCTGACCAACTTTATTTACAATAAACAGATTTTTTTTTTTAAAACTAAGGCAAACTTAACTCTAAACAAAATAAAAATATAAACTTATATGTATTACTCAAAAATAAAAGTGTGTCCGTGAGGCAAAGAGGCGAGAATGCTGGCTGCATTTCCTCGCTGAATGGCAATACTAAGCCTTTGTGCAAGGAAAGAGCCAGCATTTAGATTTTCCGAAATTTTAATTAATTTAGGGGAAATGTTCCGAAACAGTAATTTAGCATTCGGTCCCCAAGGTCCGAAGGTCTCGACACCAAAAGGCGCAAATATGTAGTCATTAGAAAGTGACTCATATTTGTGCCGTTTGGCTAACTCAGCCGACTCTGCTGCAGCCCCAGCTTTAGCAACTGATTCCCTGAGGTGGGAAGGGGCTAAAGTGTCGACACATGTAGCGTCCCAAACTAAAGCCCGTCCCCGTTCCCAGGGAACCAGAGTGAGACCATCAGGTCTCTTGCCATCATCACGGACCAATCCACGTGGTTCTAACGTGGAAGGAACGTTGATGCTGGCAAGGGCTCTCCTGATGGCGTCGTTGAGAGCAGCGTGTCGGGCGAGACGACCAGCACTTTGATGGTTATAACATATACGTATAGTAGTCTGTTTGTCAGTTTAAATATTCAACTAAGCTTCATACAAATTACTTAAGTAAATATTGAGTGTAAACCAAATAGATGCTGAACTAGTGTCAACTGTATGTACCGACAGTAAACAATCTGGGTTATTTAGTTCTAAAAAGAGAAACTTTGCAACTAAATGATGTATAGGTAGTTTTATTTAAATTATTAATACTAGGGTACAAAAAATGTCTAGTTACTAGGCCCTAGTCACTTAAACAATTCAGTGCCTGTGTGACTCAAAATGTGGGATCTCTTTTCACACCCACATGGTGTAAAAACACCAAAAAAAACTGTAGATTACACACATTTTCTCCTCATAATTTATGTAACTTTCCATGATTTCACTATAAGCCATTAGTTTTTCACCATAGCTGCTACGATATTACGAAACGTATCATAAAAGTCATGGGCATAAAAATGGCGCGGCTCAAAACATCGTGTGGAACCGGTTTTCGCGCGCATTTCTTGTTATCGAACGAGTATCGCGCCAAAAGTCATTTTTGCACAAAAAAAATATAAACAGAGGTAAATATTTAAAGCTCATACAGGCTCTTAATTCATATTTTGTTTTTGTGTTTAAATTTTTCCATATGAACACTAGCGGCCGCCCGCGACTTCGTAGGCATGGACCCTGTCTTACCTCCTTAGGGGTGGAGTTTCGTAAAATCCGTTCTTAGCGGATGTCTACACCCTTTAAGGATTTCAAGTTTGTAGGTGTTAATAGTTTCTGAGATTTCGTGATTAATAAGTGAGTGGTATTTCGCATTTAGATTATTGCGATTTTTGTAGAGTTTTTCCGACTACTTTTCGCTACTACGCGAATATGTGTTAATCACTGTAAATTCGCCCACTCACGTTCCGCAAATATTTTTGGAGCAGTTTATACAGTTTACAGTAGAAGTGCATACAATGAACTAAATTAAATTAGTTAATCTGAAAATTATTTGAAGCGCGTAACATTTTCACAAAGCTAAAATATTTTCTGACATCCCACTGTCCCACACAGTTCTGTCACAAAATATCTGTCGTCTGACCAAACTTGCATTGTACATGCAGCGTTAAATCCCTTACATGATTTTCAAAGTCGCACTAAAGTAAGGTGCACGGTTTGCAGTGCAAAATCTTATGCGTAGTAGGTACTAATCAAATCCCTACTAATAATGATGAAACTACGAAAGTAACTGTCTGTCTGTGTAGCTTTCACGCCTAAATCACTGAACTGATTTTGATGAAATTTGTCAGAGAGGTGGTTTAAGACCCGGGAAAGGATATAGGATAGTTTTTATCCCGGTTTTTGAAACACGGACGCGCAGAAGTTTTTCTGTGACAGACAAAATTTCACGCGGGAAGAAATATGGGCGGAAAGCTTGTCAAAAATATTAATTTAATTTTTACCAGTATTTTGGCACTTACGAACGTCAAAGTTTAAAAAAAGGTAGCCCTTATAAGTCACTTTACATGTCTCCTTACCTCTTGGGCCCAATCTTCGAGACAAAATAATAAAGTGAATTAATATCAAGTGCCGAGAAGAAACGCCGGTACAACTCGATACCAGTCCTAATTGACCAGTCAATACTCGATGTATGAGTTGCTATTTAAGCCTAATTTGAATGGCATTACTAAAATAGAACCTGACGTCATCCCGGGCTTCCATTTTTGTCGGTCGGAAGGCATTTATCAGGTGGTGATATGTATCGAAATATAGCAAGTAGGTAGGTGTCAGACTATGCATTTTTGCTGCAAAATAGCTTCTATGACGAGGTCATAAGATGCTACGGTGATAAGATTGATATGCACAGTCTTTTATTTTCCGAACTTCCACGGGATAGGCAAGTAATATATTCAGGTATTATAGATAATTATATCATGCATCAATATAAAGTAAATATAGCTGCCAATTTTCTAGTGTAACGGAGAAAAAAATGTTTTCTGAAAATCATAAATTATTAAATAATTCCTAAATTACTGCAGCAATAACCATTTATTTTTGCATAAAGGTAGACGTTATAGTGATAGGTAAATTTATTTACAAAATTCTGACTTAATGTAATTTTTTTAGAAAATATGCTTCTAAAACTGTTTTTTTTATAAAATCACAAAATCGAATATTTCTTCGAAACTAAACAAATTCAACTACTAGTTCCTTCATCAATTTTATACATAATAGTAATATCTAACGATTGAATTAATAAAACAGGGATGTCCGCTTCTAAGCCAAAATAAAACACTGTGATATGCTGTCGTCTAAACATTTTGCGCACGCACTTAGATGGATGTTAAGTTGAGATTTTGCTAAGGATTGTCTGTATGTTTATTTTTGACATTATTATTACTAGCGGCCGCTAGGAATTCTTTTTACACGATGTGTCTCGAAATTGGATAAAGGTGACTGAGTTTCTTCCGCCACTTCTTCTCAGCACCAGCCCATATGTTGTCCCGAAGTGGTGGAAGGGCAAGCTGTATTTGGGACGTATACACGTGCCCTGGAAAGGGTCTAAGTACTGAATAAATGATTTGACTGCACACGATGCAAAACGTCAATGTCGAGTCTCTACAATATCGATGGCATTTTGACTTTGAAAAGGGGCATAAAACAGTCACCCATATTATCGCCCGTATTCACAAACGATGCTTGCTTAAGTGAAGCAGCAACTCGAACGCACAGCGTTGAATAGAGCTCCGTGATTGGTTCGTGTGGGACCCTGTGCGTCCACGAGCACTGTAAGACTTCATAGTTTGTGAATACGGGCGTGAATCTTTTCAAATTCAAATTCAAATTATTTATTGCATGTCACATGGGTAAGGGTTGACAGGAACATAATATTGAACATGTGACGCCCAGTGAAGGCGTTGCAAAAACTTAAAAATAACATTAAATAAAATAGAGAATTATTACCTAAAATAAAATTAAATAAACATTAAAATTATAAAATCAAATAAACATTAAAATTAGAAAATTAAATACTAATAGAGCCTGACCAGGAACATAAAAACCCTGGCATAGAGGCGCGTCAATTGCATTTGATAGTGCAACACTGAGTACAGTCGTACCTGTGTTAAATTAATAGTAGCCTATTAGCACGTTATAAGTTAGCACTTTATGTATCAGGATTCAGGATTACGGGCTAATTTGATATTTTCATAAATTAACGAAAATATAAAATATTATTATAGGTAACCTGATTTAAATAAATTAAATGAAACCATCAATCGAGCTAGTAGAATTTATTTTATTATTCATCAATAATCAAATTCAGAACTTGAATATTCAACTGCAATGTCTGCTCATGAACGCTTCAAATTCGGTACTTCTTTCCCAATCCCATAAAACTCAACACTTAGAAAGTGACAAAAAATTTTAAAATAGGTAGTTGAAACAAACCACATCCACAGCTAATTTTCATAGTGGACTGTACTATACGATAAACATGTCAGTCAATTTGACAACCTTTGTCGGAAACATTATTCAATGAAAATATTGTCCGAACCCTTAGTATTTCTCTTCGACAAATACTTTAACACATTGTAAACCACTTTTCTTTCACGACTATAAAAATATTTTAGCAATTTAATTCATAAAACCAATTGCGCACATTTAAAATAAAGTTTGTTTACACTTTGACAGCAATAGACTGACATGCAAGGTGACATGTCAATGAAGTTTTCAGTTACTGTTGCCATTAAAAGAAATTAGTACCATTAGTTTTCCGCAACATGGCGAGGGTTTTTATGTTCCTGGTCAGGCTATAAATTATACAATTACATTATTATTATTATTATATAAACAAAGACAGACCATTGCAAATAAACAATTATTCTATTCTATTCTATTCTACATAATATTTTCATTAAAAAATTCAGAGATGGAATAATAGCTTTTGAGAGTGAGAAACTTCTTTAATTGTTTTTCATATGATGATATTTTATCTATATTTTTAATTTCATTTGGGATGTGGTTATATATNTGTGATATGCTGTCGTCTAAACATTTTGCGCACGCACTTAGATGGATGTTAAGTTGAGATTTTGCTAAGGATTGTCTGTATGTTTATTTTTGACATTATTATTACTAGCGGCCGCTAGGAATTCTTTTTACACGATGTGTCTCGAAATTGGATAAAGGTGACTGAGTTTCTTCCGCCACTTCTTCTCAGCACCAGCCCATATGTTGTCCCGAAGTGGTGGAAGGGCAAGCTGTATTTGGGACGTATACACGTGCCCTGGAAAGGGTCTAAGTACTGAATAAATGATTTGACTGCACACGATGCAAAACGTCAATGTCGAGTCTCTACAATATCGATGGCATTTTGACTTTGAAAAGGGGCATAAAACAGTCACCCATATTATCGCCCGTATTCACAAACGATGCTTGCTTAAGTGAAGCAGCAACTCGAACGCACAGCGTTGAATAGAGCTCCGTGATTGGTTCGTGTGGGACCCTGTGCGTCCACGAGCACTGTAAGACTTCATAGTTTGTGAATACGGGCGTGAATCTTTTCAAATTCAAATTCAAATTATTTATTGCATGTCACATGGGTAAGGGTTGACAGGAACATAATATTGAACATGTGACGCCCAGTGAAGGCGTTGCAAAAACTTAAAAATAACATTAAATAAAATAGAGAATTATTACCTAAAATAAAATTAAATAAACATTAAAATTATAAAATCAAATAAACATTAAAATTAGAAAATTAAATACTAATAGAGCCTGACCAGGAACATAAAAACCCTGGCATAGAGGCGCGTCAATTGCATTTGATAGTGCAACACTGAGTACAGTCGTACCTGTGTTAAATTAATAGTAGCCTATTAGCACGTTATAAGTTAGCACTTTATGTATCAGGATTCAGGATTACGGGCTAATTTGATATTTTCATAAATTAACGAAAATATAAAATATTATTATAGGTAACCTGATTTAAATAAATTAAATGAAACCATCAATCGAGCTAGTAGAATTTATTTTATTATTCATCAATAATCAAATTCAGAACTTGAATATTCAACTGCAATGTCTGCTCATGAACGCTTCAAATTCGGTACTTCTTTCCCAATCCCATAAAACTCAACACTTAGAAAGTGACAAAAAATTTTAAAATAGGTAGTTGAAACAAACCACATCCACAGCTAATTTTCATAGTGGACTGTACTATACGATAAACATGTCAGTCAATTTGACAACCTTTGTCGGAAACATTATTCAATGAAAATATTGTCCGAACCCTTAGTATTTCTCTTCGATTTTTAAAATATGCCACATAGATTTTTTTTTATATTTTTCTGATAACCAGCACAACTTGCCTCAACACCCAGTTCCGGCTTGACGTTACATTACGGGACACCCTGTATATTTTTATTAACATTGAGTGTGGCGCGGAAGAGTATAATTCGAGTTTAGTAGTTGGTATCTTCAGTTTGTTTTGATAACGATTATTGCGTATCGTCATCTTCTTTTCTCACAGCATAAAAACGAAAGTTTTCGTACATTGCAGTGCAGCAGTGATGACTCACGACACTGAGATGTGGCCCTTGACCTCTTAAATACACTTCAAGCACTTGAGAGAGCTACGCTTGGAGTTTCTCTACGTGATGCCACAATGAGAACATCTGTATAAGAAAAAAAATCATCGTTAGCTTCTCGAAATAGCGGTGACAATCACTTTCACGGCCAACTTTCGCATCTTTAAATTATGTATTTTACAGGAGAGCGTTTTGAAAGCTTAAAACGAACATATGGTGCAGTTTTTTTGACTAAATATGATTTTCACTAAGCCTAAGCGCAGACCACCGATTTTTAGTGTAATGTGCGCATTTCCATACATGCCCATATTGATCAACTGCCCGACTAAACTATCGGCCGACGAAAAATCGATGGTCTGCGTCTAGGCTTATACGAAATATGGTGCAGTTTTTGACTGAATATATTTCCACTAAAACAGCAGATTCTTAAGTTTGCCGTGGATGTGCTAGGAATATTCTAAACTAGCGACCCGCCCCAGTTTCGCACGGGTGCTAAGTATACATATAAATCTTGCTCTTGAATCAACCTATCTATTAAAAAAAACCGCATCAAAATCCGCTGCGTAGTTTTAAAGATCAAAGCATACATAGGGACAGACAGCGGAAAGCAACTTTGTTTTATTATGTAATGATTATTTATGAACCTTCTACAAAGTATTAAGAAAACATTAAAAATAATGAATGAAATCGTCTTATTTATTCTCAAATACTGACGTGACCAAGGGCAACACGGATTCATTTTTATTGTTAAACATAAACTGCAATAAAAGTAACCAAAACCGGTCCCACGACATTTTAAATGTCATTGTGGTTCTGTTTTTATTTACAAAAGCCCTTATCACAAGTGTTGATGTGCTACGAAATAAAATCTTGATACTTGATGGTTCAAGTAACCAAGTTGAGTCCCTTGACAAAGTATTAGTCGTGACATTTTTGATTCGAAATCGCTTCGTTCTATCTTCGGTGATCTGTCAGTCAGTCCCAGGCTCGCAGCAAGAGAAATGTATCTCAGATTTAAGAGTAGCCATGATGTAAAGATAAAGATATTTATTTGCAAGAGGTAATTAGTAATGTATTATAAAGTATTGCTATACAGTAATACCAGAGTGTAATACCTCGCTTTACGCGACCCCGTATTGCGCGGTTTCACTACAACGCTAATTTCAAATTTCGCATTCAAATGCCTCAAATTACGCGAAAGAATGTGTAAGTTGTTGTAGTCATTAACTTCTCTTTGGTCGCGGGAATCCTCGCTACCTCTGCACATTCTGATAGAAAAATTGGGGACTCCGCCTCCAACGACCTTGTTCTATGGGGATTCCCTCGTTCGTTTCCTTTATTCCGGCGTGTTTAGCTCGGCTAGCAGTCGTGTTTTAACATTTATTGATTCGTATTTTATTGTATTCTATTTTTATAGAATACAATAAACTAGCTTTCCGCCTTGTCTGTCACAGAAAAGCTTTATCGCGTGGCTATAAACCTCACGGAGCCCGAGACCTTTCCAACGAATACAAAACCGTGGAAATCGGTTCGTGCGTTCTGGAGTTATAGCATCCAGGAAGGAAAACCCGACTTATTTTTATATAGTAGATTTTTGACGATGTTTAATCATCAACCTTGATATGAATTTCAGTTAACGCGATTTTTACCGGAACGTATCCCTCGCGTAAAGCGGGGTATTACTGTACCTAAGTTTTGCTATTCCTATCGATGGAAAAAGTAGTACAAGCAATGTGTAAAGCCTGCGCTGTGTATTTGTCTGCCGCTTAGGGTTGCAATAATGGTCATAATTGGCAGGATTCTCCAGATTTTTTGTATATTCTCCCGACTCCCGACAAAACCAAAATCTTCCGACAAACATTTTAATTTGATTTGTTTCAGTACACTACATGGCACATGATGGCGAGAAACAAAGCTGGGACGATGACGAGCGCTTCTATTCTTCAGGCCGAGACAGCGACGACAGCCCTATACTATCCTACAGGTTAGTATCAGAATTCCCGTCTGCCCAGATCTTCCATTTGCCTATGATACGAGATTATTCCCACCTCTCGTTCCCACCGCTGCAACTCCTGTGTAGCCAGGATCTACAGCTTGACCGCCAATAATAACCCAACCAGTGAAGGTTTTTGCCCCGGGGTAAAGTCTGCCGCCTCTGTGGTCTAGTGGTAAGACCACCTGCTTCAGTCGCAGAGGTCCCGGGTTCGATTCCCAGTGGGGGCAGATTTTTCTGTTCGGTTTGGTTGGTGGTAGGGCTTGTTGTAAGTCCGCCTGGCTAGCTACCACCATCTTACCTAAGTCTGTCGCCATAACAACAGTGTTAACAGCATTGTTGTGTTCCGGCAGTTAGAGGTAAGATAGTCAGTTCCTCCGTGGTTGAGGATTCCGGGTGAAGCTCGCTTCCACCTTCGGCCTGATCGTCACTTATTATCAGGTGAGATACAGGCCAAGAGCTTCCTCTTTGTGGATAAAAAAAGTTAAACTGTCATTGGACCGGCAACGAAATTAATCAGAAGAACATAGGAGTTCGAAGTTAAGGTTCGACTTCCCTCCATTGCAAAGCGGATGACAGGTGACAAACAAAGGTTTAGTAACCTTTAAGAAAAGACCTATGCCTATGGTAGAAAGCCTATGACAGTAGAGGGTCGTGCTCCTTTAGTGGAGACTCTATGACCTGACGATGATGGTATATCTTTAAATACATATAACTCAAAGGTGACTGACTGACTGACATAGTGATCTATCAACGCACAGCCCAAACCACTGGACGGATCGGGCTGAAAGGCATGCAGGTAGATGTTATGACGTAGGCATCCGCTAAGAAAGGATTGTACGAAACTCCACCCCTAAGGGGGTAAAACGGGATCCACGCGTACAAAGTCGCGGGCGGCCGCTAGTCTATGAATAACTAGCTGACCCGGCGAACTTTGTTCCGCCTTAATGGCAATAAATAAACAAATTAATGGGATAAAAAGTATCCTATGTCCTTCTCCTGGCTCTAAACTACCTCCCTGCCAATTTTCAGCTAAATCGGTTCAGCCGTTCTTGAGTTATAAGTGGAGTAACTAACACGACTTTCTTTTATATATATAGATATAGATAGATAGGCATTCATAACCAGTCTGGCCAACGTGGGGGGTGAAGGCCAAATACTCCATTTGCCTGTTAAATTAGAGGTACTCTTGCAGTGGAGACTGAATGACTTGACGATGACGTAACTGCCTTATTTATTTACTTATTTATTTATTATTCTTCTAACTTCTTCTTTTTTTCGTATCAACAAACCTACACAGCGTCGGCCCAAAACTCCGCCACAAGAGTGGCGTTGTCAGTAGCCTTCATTAAATCATCCTGCTTGCAGTTGTTTGGGCACGCAGGGCACGACATCATGTGCTTCGTCGACTGGGAAACAAAACCACACCTGCACTCCAAGAACAGATTGTCCTTACTACCTGACGCTGTGCGAGTCTGCACTATGCCCATGCGGCGAGGAAGTCGAAGAGAGCCGCGATCACGCACTTTGGGAATGTAATCTCTGACGAAGCTCGACAGAAGATGCTGGATGCGACACGGAGAGCCGAGCAAGGACTTGTTTATCACCAGGACCTCACGAGTAGTCGCAGTAACTGGATCGCGCTGCGCGAGTTCGCGCACCTGGCACACAATCAGGCGAAGTTATGAGAAGAAGTGATGACATTTATCAACGATAGCAGCCCGACGCGAAGTACCGTATTTGTGGTGTCAAGCCCCAGAAGGGGGAGAATTGACTATGAGAAGGGACATGGATCAGATAAATTTGTAGGGAGTCAAGCAAAGCGCCCGGGGAAAGGAGACCAGAGCAAGTACCCGCGCGCTCTCCCGAGATTCGGTTCGTACGCCGTGAGGCAGGAAGAACCATGGGTGGTGGTGTCCTTACTACGGCTGACCTGCGTCCGAAGTCTATTTAAAGACTTCCTCATTAGTAGTTAGTATTCGAGATAATGGTTTTGTTAATCAGGAACTCAAATTAGGAACAGGCAGCTCTAAAAAAGTTTGTAGTTTAAGAACACCTGCCCGCCAAATGTTGGTCTCTTAGCGCTTAGGGCAAAAAAACTATGAGACATGTAACGCTTAGTGCCTTTTCACACGTTCCGGTTGCCGGCTATCCGGCGCCGGGTACCCGGTGGTGAAGTGTATGGGCATGGTACGTAGCTTTCACATGTTCCGGCGTAATTAATCCGGCATGCCCATACATTTGACGCCGGGTAACCTTCGCCGGTTAGCCGGCAACCGGGACGTGTGAAAAGGGCCTTACATTGTTTTTAGCCTATTTTCTTTCAATATTTTACGGTGTTTTTAAGTACTATTTTAATTTTCATCATCATCATCATCATCATTCAGCCATAGGACGTCCACTGCTGAACATAGGAATCCCCCAATGCTTTCCATGTTGATCGATTGGTAGCGACCTGCGTACAGCGCTTCCCTGCTACCTTTATGATGTCGTCGGTCCACCTTGTAGGTGGTGGACGTTCCACGCTACGATTTTAATTTTAATATACTATAAAATAAAGGATTTTTTACCTTGATAAACCACATGGAAACAAGTGTGAAATGTTCTCTTTAATTAATTCTAAAACTAAGCGGAAATATGGGCACTGCTTATCTTACCGGGTTTTATTTTAATCTTAAATTAATTTAATTAATCCTATACTTTAGCTCACATTTTGCCTCATTATCCTTTATCGAATACTAACGCCCGTATTCACAAACATTACTATGAGGTCTCACAGTGCGCGTGAACGCAGAGGGTGACATACGAACCAATCACAGAGCTCTATTCAACGCTGTGCGTTCGATTTGCTGCTTCAATTATGCAAGTATCGTTTATGAACACGGGCGTTACAGGTTTACATACCTATTTCAGATTTTAATAAATAATATTATTTACTTAACTTAATATTTGTACCGATTTAATGCTCAAAGACTGTCCCAAATAAAGAGAAAAGAAAATATGAAAGAAAATGTTTTAGGAATCTTGTCGAAATGTTAAAAGTTCGGGTTACAAAACTAAAAAAAAGTGACAAAGGATAGGATTACAACTAAATGAATGATTTTAAATGAAGTTTAGGTTCGTTTCACCCGAATGACGTCCACTGCTGGACAAAGGCCTCCCCCAAGGATTTCCACAAAGACCGGTCCTGCGCCGCCCGCATCCAGGCACCTCCCGCGACCTTCACCAGATCGTCGGTCCTCCTAGTGGGAGGCCTGCCCACACTACGTCTTCCGGCTCGTGGTCGCTATTCGAGAACTTTTCTGCCCCAACGGCCATCAGCTCTGCGAGCTATGTAGTTTAGGTCATCATCATCATCATCATTTCAGCCACAGGACGTCCACTGCTGAACATAGGCCTCACCCAATGATTTCCACAATGGCCAGTTGGTGGCGGCCTGCATCCAGCGTCTTCCCGCTACCTTTATGAGGTCGTCGGTCCACCCAGTTTAAGTACCTTTAGGTAGGTAGGTTAGTGTACCTTTTCATTATCACAGAGCTACAGTAAAAAGCGAAACAAGGTCATGCGCGTTTCCTGCTATGAAACAATGGGAAAAAAATAATTAAACAAACCGCTGACAATAGAAATGGTTCAGTCTACTAAGTACTTGTTTTCTTCATGGCCATGCGATGGATTGTTATTGATTGGAACGATTTATCTTTTAAATGCGGGCATAGTTATAGTTATAGTTTTTTATAGTTACTTTTGTGAAGCCTCAATGTAACCTTGTTGGTGTTCAAATAAATAAATAAATAAATAGTGCATAAATTAGTAACCTACGGCTGATTTTGTGAGACTGACGAACGCACAGCGTTGAATAGAGCTCTGTGATTGGTTCGTGTGTCACCCTGTGCGTCCACGCGCACTGTGAGACCTCATAGTAATGTTTGTGAATACGGGCGTAAGTTCTCAGCACTTGCCAAATGTTTGTCTCGAAGCTCTGGTAGGGCAGAAAATAATGATACAATACACTGAAAGTTGCATTTTCTCCTCGTTAAAAAAACAATGCCGAATTATAAAGCCAATTTCGATTTTTGCTCTACATACGATTAATTTTTATACGGGTGTTCCTACCTACCATGCGTATCGATCAAACCGCCATGTATGACTCGCGATTGTGCATAATTGTGAAGTTTATTTTTTGTTAAAATTGTATTTAAAAAATCATATGCCAAATCAAATTGGGCAATAGAAGAAGTTACCTGCTATTATAATGCGAACCAACCGAACCTTTGTTTGTCACCTGTCATCCGCTTTGCAATGGAGGGAAGTCGAACCTTAATTTCGAACTCCTGCAATGTTCTTCTGATTAATTTCGTTGCGGGTCCAATGACAGTTTAACTTTCCCCCGGGACAAGCTTGACCTTCATTGGTTGGGTTTTTGTGGCGGTCAAGCTGTAGATCCTGGCTACACAGGAGTTGCAGTGGTGGGAACGAGAGGTGGGAATAATCCCGTATTATAATGCGAACATTAGACGTCCCCAACCCGTCTGGCCAGCGTGGGGAGTGTAAGCCAAATCCTCTTGCCTCTGGTAAATTAGAGAGGGTCGAGCTCCTGCAATGGAGACTAAATGACCTGATGATGGTGATGATTCTCTTGTCCCTTTTGACGTAAAGCATGACGTACGTAATGTTGACGTTCAGCCAAACTAACGCGATCAGACTTAAATGCATTGATCGCCATCGCTGGCCGCTGCACGCCAGCTGATCGCGTTGGTTTGGCTGAACCTTTAGGCCTCAGCCTCGAGTTTAGCGGGCAGCGGGGCGGCGGCGGTAGCGGCGCGGGAGCGGCAGGATCTTATGCGTAAAATCAAATAGACCGGTTCTCGAAAACAGCGGCGCGGGAGCAGGCAACGAGCGGGCAACGGCGCAGGAGCGGGCAACGAGCGGGCAGCGCACTCCTTCTTTTGCCCACAATAAATCGAGCGTTAGGAATAAATTTGAATCGAAATAAAATTGTCGCCGTTGTTCAGACATTTCGTTTGCGAATAAAAACAAATATCTCGACAACACAACCCCGAACACAACACTTCGCCGCTAAAGCGCCGCGCGAGCTGCCCGCTTGTTTCGAGAACGGGTCTGCGTTGCCCGCCCCGCTCCCGCGCCGCCACCGCTCCCGCGCCGCTGCCTGCTAAACTCGAGGCTGAGGCCTTAGAGATGTAATGCGTGCCGCAAAAACATTTCATCATCATCATCAACGTCATTTCACCCATACGACGTCCACTGCTGAACGTAGGCCTCCCTTAATGACTTCCAGCGGCCTGTATTTATGAGGTCGTCAGTTCACCATGTGGGTAAACATTGGTGGAAAAACATTTAATAACTTCGTAAATTAGGACGTTTAAAATTCTGCCTAGAATTTGCTTTTGGTATAAAATAATGATTTGTGAATCAATCAAAAAGCTATCTATAATCTCATTCCCGCAAAGTAAAATTAATCTTGTAATCAAACATGATTTTTAATCTAAATCTGAATCTATAATCTCTAATCAATTTAATCTGTAATCTATGATTCATTACTATCATGTCGCATTTTATTACAAAACATCCAATTAAATTGATAAAAACATTCCAATTAGTTCAATTGAGCTGTTTCTAATCATGCCTTAGTTTTTAATCCATTAATCGCACACGCCGTCAGTACATGTTACTTAATTAATTAATTTGTCAACTAAGTTCGTTAAAATTGAAAATGGCCTTCAAATGTGCTGGCCGTTAAAAATGACTAAACAAAAAAATGCGCCAGCTCAGTAACTGATGGAATGCTTTAGGCAGTGTTTTTCAACCTTTTTCATGACACGACACGACCCCCCTAGTATAAAAAATATTTTGCGACCCCCCGACTGCTCGCTTTTTTTCATGCATTTTTTAAGGTTACAAAGATGTAAGGACTGAATTTTTCAATATACAGCATTTTATGCATTTGCAAAATTAAATTTCGGAGAAATCTAACTTTAAAACTTTACTGTTTTTTTACTGACTTAGTTTTTACGACCAGGTTGAAAAACACTGCTTTAGGGTATAATATAACATCACCCTACAGCCAATAAGGGCGGAGCAGTAAAGAAAAATGTTGCAAAAACGGGAAATATTATTCAAACTTTCCACGCGTACGAAGTCGCGGGCACGGCTAAAGCCTGGCCCGTGAGCACGTAGAATCCCGTCCAATGACCCCAAGCTACCCATCCCTATCGCTCGCGCGTAATTATGTTGCTGTCGCGCTCGCACACTCACTGCGGGCGCCCGTCGCACAGTCGCGACAGCACCATAATTACGCGCGTGCAATAGGGATGGGTAGCTTGGGGTCATTGGACGGGATTCTACGTGCTCACGGACCAGGCTTTAGCGAAATTATAAAAATGCGGGCATGGCTGAAATCCGCAACACAAGAAAAACGCACTAACGCCCGTATTCACAAACGATGCTTGCTTAAATGAAGCAGCAAATCGAATGCACAGCGTTGAATAGAGCTCTGTGATTAGTTCGTGTGTCACCCTGTGTGTCCACGCGCACTGTGAAACCTCATAGTAATGTTTGTGAATACGGGCGTAAATTATTAAGTATTTGTTCCAGATACGACCGCCACCGCCGCTATGCGTCATATACACAGGCCTCGGAGCCTCACGGGCCCCGCGAGAGGAGGTCCGCCGTCACCGCGCTGGCCAAGTGCTTCCTGTTCTCCGCCGCCATGATCCTGTTCTGCGCGCTGCTCTACATCCCGGCCTACAACCGCGCCAGCGACCAGCTGCCCAAAGGTGCGTCATCATCATTACAGCTATGCACCCAGCCCTGAACGAACCAAAGTCGCTGACATAGCCCGACGGATTAGCAAGCTGAAGTGGCAATGGGCAGGGCACATGGTACGCAGAACTGACGGCCGATGGGGCAGAAAAGTTCTGGAATGGAGGCCGCGTACCGGAAAACGCAGCGTGAGACGTCCACCTACAAGGTGGACCGACGACATCGTAAAGGTATCAGGGAAGCGCTGGATGCAGGCCGCTACCAATCGATCAACATGGAAAGCATTGGGGGAGGCCTATGTTCAGCAGTGCACGTCCTATGGCTGAAATTATGATGATGATGATGACCCAGCCCTGGACAAAGAGAAAATAGCCCAAACGGTACCAGCTGCCCAAAGGTGCGTCATTATCCAACAGCCCAAGGACATCTACTCCTTGACGAAAGCCCAACGGTGTCAACTCCTCAAAGGTGAGTTCATCATCATTGCAGCCAAAGGACATTCCCTCCTTGACAATAGCGTCCCCAAGGGCAATTCCAAGGTTGCCAGTCACTTAAAAAGGGTCTGGTATCAGATTTCTCCTATTACCACCGTCTCAGAGACTTGGACCTCACTTTTTGCTTAAAAAGTGACGTCATCATTCAGCCAAAGGACGTTCACTGCTGGACAAAAGTCTTCCTCAAGGATTTTCTCAACTCTAGACCTACGCTGTCCGCGGGCTCTTCGGGCTCTTCTTGCGGTGTCCTTCCCGCAAACTTCACTAGATCGTCGGTCCACTGAGTGGTAGGCCGTAACACTGTGTCTTCTGGTTCGTGATCGCCGCTCAAGAACTTTTCTGCTCCTAAGACCATCAGGCCTTCATCAGTCCACCGAATGAGAGTCGCTTTAGACACTGTCTAAGGTCAGTTCAGCATCATTTCTGCCTATCGTCTGCTAGATAAAGGCGACAATAGCCCAACGATGTCAGCTGCTTATAGGTTCGTTGGTCTCATACCCTTACAGCGTCCCAATGCTTCTCATAGAAGACCTTCTGTCTCAATGCTGGGCGAAAGTATCCCCCCACATTCCTCCACGACGACGTCACTTTTTACTTACTTGATGACTTCATCATTCAGCCAAAGGATGTCCACTGCAGAAGAAAGATTCCAAAGTGTCTTATTGCTGGGAAAAGGTCTAGTCCCATTTCCCTCCAACGATAAAGGTCCAAAGGTGACAAAAGCACAACGGCTTCGTGTTGGATCCGAGGGTCCCCATCTAGACTTACGCTTCCACAGATGTTGCAAGAAAACACTAGCTGATGACGTCACTTTTTGACCAACTCAAAAGACGTCCTCTGTTGGACAGAGGTGTTCCCGAAGGATATCTGGAATAAGGAAGGACGGTACGCTGTACGGGTAACGCTACCCGTATCCAGGTGTTTTTCAGGACCTTCACTAGATCGTCTGTCCACTGAGTGACTGAGGGAAAGGCTTGTCCTCACCGCGTCTTTTAATTCATGGTCGTCACTCAAGAACTTTTCTTCCCTAACTGGCATCAGGCCAGTAAACGCTATTATTATAACAATAGCTTCTAATTTCCCCTCTTTTTCAGGTCTAGTAGCCGGCTGGTCGGTACACACGAATCGGGACACAAAAATATACGTACAGCCGAACAACGTAACCCTAATTCACGAGCCGAAAGACATATGCTCCAAGCTAGATAGAAACAAAAAGAACAAACTGTTCCTTCTTATAGTGGTTTGTTCCTCAACCACTAATTTCGAAAGAAGAGTTGCCATACGCGAAACGTGGGGCAACCGAGACATATACAGAAATCTGGAAAAAGTCTTCAATACTGTCTCGGATAAATACAAAAGTTACAATTATACGTATGACTTGTACCCAGAATCTCATAATGTTAGTGTGAATGTTAGTAAGTCTAAGAGAGACATATCCATTGGCAGTATTTTGCCAGAATTAGCTAAGGTGTTGCAGAATAATATGGTTAATACAAAGACTGAGGATGTACCTGAGAAGCGGTTTGAGGACGACGATGATCCGGTGTTGCCAGAGTTCGACATGAATAAAGAGTTGGGGGAGAACGCTGAGAATTATGATTATGAATATGAATCCAATATTATGAGAATACCTCCAAGAGGTGAGTGGAATTATTATAAATATATAAATATAAATATAAATATCAATATCCTTGGACATTTAACACTGCGCTTCTAGTCCCAAACTAAGCAAAGCTTGTACTATGGTTACTAGACAACGGATATAAACATACTGAAATACTTTTTTTTTGTAAATACATGATTATTATATATAGAAAACACCCTTATGTTTTCTTTCTTGCCCGTTTTCATCATCAATACCTAATTTTTAAGTGACCCATATGAAAATAAATTCTTTTTATTGTGTTACCATAGGGGTCACTTAAAAATTGGGAATTGATGTCTTCAATTTTATTAAGGCGTGATTTTTGCGAAAGTAGAGCTCCGAGTGACTTATTTATTTATTTGATTTATTTATCTATATTAAAGAAACATACAGACTTGTTTGAATTTGTTGTTTATAAATGCGAAAATAATTTGTATCTGTTTTTCATATTAAAAATACTCAACTTTGGATTTAATTTTTATAAACAAATAGACCTTGCAGTAGGTCATACTTTTTTTAAATGTATTGCTTTTGTTAAATAAAAAAATCTAGGGTAATAAATGTTATTAATTTATTTCCTTATTTTTCTTGTATCGAAGTAATACAAATAGATTGCTTCTAATACATTACATTTTGATACAGGTTACGAAGACAGTCCGAGTTTGGGGAAAATACTAAAAATGTTGAAAGAAAAAGACGTTTTCCCCGAAAAGGTGGAGGAAAAAACAGAAGAGGCTGACAACACCGAACCAGAGTTCAAACTTGTGTTCCTGTTAGGGTTGCCAACGCAGAATAACGACACGGAGGTCCAGAGTAAAATTGACGAAGAGGTGAGCGAACAAAACGTGATAGATACATTGTCCAACTTTATACGAAACGACTTCGTACGCGTGGATCGCGTTTTACCCCCCTTAGGGGTGGAGTTTCGTAAAATCCTTTCTTAGCGGATGCCTACGTCATAACATCTACCTGCATGCCAAATTTCAGCCCGATCCGTCCAGTGGTTTGGGCTGTGCGTTGATAGATCACTATGTCAGTCAGTCAGTCAGTCAGCCAGTCACCTTTGAGCCTATATACATATATTTAGATTGTTTTTCTGCGTTTACTCTTCAGGTAGAGAGGTACGGTGACGTCATTCAGGAGGGGTTTATAGATTCGTACAATAATCTGACGCTGAAGTCAATTATGATGCTGAAGTGGATCACGAATCAGTGCAATGAGAGTGGTAAGTAAACCATTATCATCATCATCATCATAATCATCAGGTCAGATTTTTTTTTCATAGGGGTCACATTTTACAATTAGAGATTGATGGTGAAAACGGGCATAAGTAGATCAGATGGAAAAGCAGTCAGGTCGTGGGTTCGATTCCCGTCTTAGGCAGTTTGATTTTTTCAAGTTATTTATAATTTTCAAATTAGTTTGAGATGCCTCTCTTAACACTATAGAAATTTTAATAGCTAATTGAAAATTAATGCACCATCTTGTTTTAACTTTAACGAACGTCAAAAATCTGTCAAACTCCACAGAAAACAGCCTAATATTTGTTATGTCTGTTCCAGTCCGCTACATCCTAAAGACAGACGATGATATGTACATAAACGTGCCAAAACTGATGTTCAATCTGAAGAACCGTTCGCGAGACTTCGATGAGAAGGTGGCGTCGGGGGCGAAAGACCACGAGTACTTGTTGATTGGAGCCCTAATATGTGGAGCGAGACCTGTGCTGGATAGCAATAATAAATGGTCAGTTTATTTTAGTTTTTTCTAATGTCTTCTACTTTTTCTTGTTTTTTTCTTATTCCTTCACAGGTACAGTTGTACCCGCAACCACAGAGGAACTGGTTGTCTTACTCCAACTGCCGAAAGACAACGATGCTGTTAATAATGTTTTTGCAGTGACAGATTTAAATAAGGTGATAAGAGAAGGAGGTATATAGGTTTATTTCCCCACAGGTACAGGGCTACCTACCGAGTACAGGGTACACTCAGAACTGACTACATAAATATGTGTCTGTAGTCTGGTCTGCGAGCACGTAGAATTTTGTCCAATGACCCCAAGCTACCCATCCTTATCGCTCGCGCGTAATTATGTTGCTGTCGCGCTCGCACACTCACTGCGGGCGCCCGTCGCACAGTCGCGACAGCAATATACTTAATTACGCGCGAGCGATAAGGATGGGTAGCTTGGGGTCATTGGACAAAATTCTACGTGCTCCCGGACCAGACTATAGATCTATTATTTCATGAGTATCCGTTCTAAAGGTCTGTCCACCTACAGGTATAGTCCTCGCTACATGTACGGCAGACGCGTGTGCCCTCACTACCTGTCGGGTACAGGGTACACTGAACTTTTTCTATGTAGTATCCCACATAACCACAGATCTGTCTCCCCACAGGTACAGTCCCTGCTACATGTACGGCGGGCGGGTGTACCCTCGGTACCTATCGGGTACCTACAGGGTACACTGAACTATTTATATGTATTATCCAATATAACCACCAGTCTGTCCCCCACAGGTACAGTCCCCGGTACATGTACGGCGGGCGGGTGTACCCTTGGTACCTATCGGGTACAGGGTACGCTCTATATTTATAGCTGGTTAACCCATATAACTTAACAGGTCTGTCCCTCCACAGGTACAGTCCCCGCTACATGTACGGCGGGCGGGTGTACCCTCGGTACCTATCGGGTACAGGGTACGCTCTATATTTATAGCTGGTTAACCCATATATATAATTCAACAGTTCTGTCCGTCCACAGGTACAGTCCCCGTTACATGTACGGCGGGCGCGTGTACCCTCGGTACCTATCAGGTACAGGGTACACTGAACTATTTCCATGTATTATCCCACATAACTACAGGTCTGTCTCCCCACAGGTACAGTCCCCGCTACATGTACGGTGGGCGCGTGTACCCTCGGTACCTATCGGGTACAGGGTACACTGAACTATTTCTATGTATTATCCCACATAACCACAGGTCTGTCTCCCCACAGGTACAGTCCCCGCTACATGTACGGCGGGCGGGTGTACCCTCGGTACCTATCGGGTACAGGGTACGCTCTATATTTATAGCTGGTTAACCCATATAACTTAACAGGTCTGTCCCTCCACAGGTACAGTCCTCGCTACATGTACGGCGGGCGCGTGTACCCTCGGTACCTATCGGGTACAGGGTACGCTCTGAGCTCGCGTGCTGCCAGCGCCCTCTACTCGGCGGCTCTCAGAACTAATTACTTCCACTTGGAGGATATTTATATCACTGGTGAGTGTTATTAAGTCTTTCTTTAAAAAAGTTATGTATAATGTTGAATAGATATGGAGGCGATAATAACCCAACGGAATCGGACAGCTTATTCAAGATTCGAGAGTCGCTAGGTCGAACTCACTAATAACAAATTACTAAACCTTTTAAAGAGAAAATGGAAACGCCTTTTTCTAGCGTGCCGCGTCTATGAAAAGAAATGTAGAAGATTATTTAGTATTTATGAATCTTTTTATTTGGGTAATAAATTAATAACTTCAATCCACAACTTTTCAAAGAGAACATAATATACAGGGTGTCCCGTAATGTAACGTCAAGCCGGAACTGGGTGTTGAGGCAAGTTGTGCTGGTTATCAGAAAAATATAAAAAAAAATCTATGTGGCATATTTTAAAAATAATAGGCATTTAAAATAAATCAAAAAATTCTACTCCAGGTGACGGTCCTTTTACTCGTGTTGTCACAAATCTTCACTTTTTCTAAATTTTTTTTTTGTTATTTAACCCTGAATAATGCTTCTCTAAATTGTTATCAAAATTACAAAACCAGCTGCTCCAACTTGGATGAAAAAAATACATTATTCCCAAAAAAAATATCAAAATAAAAATTTTGCCTAGTTTAAACTGACTGTACTGAAAAAAAATTGTACTATTGAGTGTGGCAAGTGACGTCATAATTTGGCGCATTTAGTAAGGATTCTAAAATGGTATAACACTTTGTAAAATCTTGCTGTAATTGTCGACAATTTTTGTTTATTGGAAATAATCCCGTTTTTAACTTTATCTACTTTGGTAAAAAATATTATTCTAATGTGCCCAAAATTCAAGTTTCTGGCTTAAGTGAGGTGGAGAAGCCATTTTAAAAGGTATGAGCGGGACGGAGAGGGCCATCTTACCAAGCAGGGATGTTATGGATATCCGTAACCGTAACCGAAACTATCGGATATCCGAAATAAAAAAATGTCCATAACCGTAACCGAAACTGATTCAAAAGTTACGGATAGTTTCGGATAAAGGCCAAACTGCAAAACTCTATGAAATCTGCAGTATACACGCCGCAGCTGCAATGCCGCGCTGCCGATTTCATAGTTTTGCAGTTTGCGGTTGCAGTTTGCGGTCTGCGGCCCGTCTTGGAATTGTACCTTAAATCTTAATATTTGTTACCAACTTGTCTGGCATTCGCTGGCACCATCTAATATGCCAGCCTGTTTTACCTTTATCATACATAGGTGTCGTCTTAGTTGGTACATAAAGTAGCTATGTGGGTCACGCTCACGCAGCATCTTGCTATTTGAATTACACCTACATTTTTGAAATTCAAATAATTCCGTAACCGAAATTATCCGAGACTTTCGGATAATCTGAAATTATTTCATATCCGTGACCATAACCGAAACCGGTATAATATTATTCTAATATCCGTAACCGTATCCATAACCGAAACTTCATATCCTTATTATCCCTGTTACCAAGTACAAGTGCAGACAGAGAAGGTAGTAAAGGCGCGCGCGCACGGGTGACTTTTGTCACAGTATGTCAACTACTAATTACTGTCATGGTGACGAATTTTGGGCACATTAGAATAATAATTTTTAACCAAGGTAGATAAAGTTAAAAACGGGATTATTTCCAAAAAAAACAAAAATTGTCGACAATTACAGCAAAAATTTTCCAAGTGTTGTACCATTTTGGAATCCTTACTAAATGCGCCAAATTATGACGTCACTTGCCACACTCGCGTAGTACATTTTTGTTTCAGTACAATCAGTTTAAACTAGGCAAAATTTTAATTTTGAAATTTTTTTTGGGAATTATGTATTTTTTTCATCCAAGCTGGAGCAGCTGGTTTTGTAATTTTGATAACAATTTAGAGAAGCATTATTCAGAGTTACACAACAAAAAAAAAATTTGGAAAAAGTGAAGATTTGTGGCAACACGAGCAAAAGGACCGTCACCTGAAGTAGAATTTTTTGATTTTTTTTAAATGCCTATTATTTTTAAAATATGGCACATAGATTTTTTTTTATATTTTTCTGATAACCAGCACAACTTGCCTCAACACCCAGTTTCGGCTTGACGTTACATTACGGGACACCCTGTATATTTTTTCCTCTGAGAATCCAACAAGTTAACGGAGTTGAAGAAAAAGTGATGTCATCTTTTTGTCATACAAAAACTATGATAGAACTGTCTTGACGGCTCAAAAAAACTACTAGTTATTGCCTATTACGCATTTTGTCTTTGTGGAAATCCTTGGGGGAGGCCTTTGTCCAGTAGTGGACGTCTTTCGGCTGAAACGAACGAACGAACGCTTTTGTGTCAAAAACTCTTTAAACCAATAGGTTTAAGGAATGAATGAATTTTATTATATGATTTATTTCTACCCAGGCATGTGCGCCATCCGGTCCTCCCCCCGGATAATCCCGCGGGACGACCCGGACTTCTCATACCGGGCGGGCAGCACGCGCGCCGAATGCGCCGCGCATTCGCACGCGACCACGCACCGCGTGTCGCCGCGGCGCATGCGGCTGTTACATCGGCGGTTAGGGCGCCTGGACCTGGCAGATAGGTAAGTCCCACTGCTGGGGGTAAGCCCACTAACTAGCACAGTAGTCATTGGGAGTCCAGAACTGAACCTGAGTCTTCAAGGAGCGCGATCTCTTGCTTTTATCATAGATTCTAGATTGCACAGACGCCTGGCGTGACTATTCGGATTCTTCTTACTCAGAGGCAGGGCTTCCTTACCCCAAAGGGGAGAGAGCAATACAGAGAGTACGTTCTTAGGTATTTTCCTCCAGTCACTGCCATCTAGATACTTGGGTTCATCTATCATCAATCTGGGTCTGCTGTCTCGCTCTCTCACTAGTAGCCCCTCCTCCTCTAGTTACTTGGGTTCTTCTATCTAGCTAGGTCTGCTCTCTCACAAGAGCCACTGTGTCTCTCTCGCTCTCACTATAGTCTCACCGCGTGTCGCCGCGGCGCATGCGGCTGTTACATCGGCGGTTAGGGCGCTTAGACCTGGCAGATAGGTAGGTGGTCATTACAGCTAGCAGTGTAGCCAAGGGGTGTCCAGAGCTGGACCTAAGTCATGGAGCGCCACACAGCCAGAAGCCTATTTTATTGTCCGAGTTTTTAAGACTACCTACAGATTCTAGATTGCTGGAAACATGGACCCCCAAGCTAGCAGATAGGTGGAGCCTTTAGCATCTTAGGCTTAGCAGCCTGTGGGAGAACAAAGCTGGACGTAAGTCTTCAAGGAGTTCCGAGCACGATCACCTTTGCCAGATGAAGGCCGACGCTAGCGAGCACACCTAATGTAAACTCATGGTAAGCACATTGGTAACATAATTCTAGGGGTGAATCCTTCCACTGGTACAGTGTACCCAAACTACTCAACGAGTACGGGGTACACCCTGAACTACTTCTATCTACATAAGTACCCGCTCTAAAGATCTGTACCTTTATAGTTACAGTCTCAGGTACACCTACGTCGGGTGCGTGTACCCGCGTTACCTATTGGTTACAGGGTACACTATATTTTCCCATATATCTACAGGTTTGTCCCCCCACAGGTACAGTCCCCGGTACATGTATACAACGTGTTAATGAAAAAGCGCAAAATTTTAACCAAAAAAATATTTTAATTACGCCGTGTTACTTAACTCTATTATCAGAGGTGAATGAACTATCTACGTTAACTACTAACCTACTCATAGGCGTGCATGCCTTGCAATCAGCGTGTGAAAGGTCAATACGTTTCCAGAAATGCGTAGAAAAGAGATAACAAGTGCGCGGGGCGAAAACAAAAAGAGTGAATTTTAATAATTTACACAATTCTTTTATAATTAACATAAGTTGGGCTGTCTGAGGTTTTGCGGTTTCATTAACACGTTGTAGAGGGCGCGTGTACCCTCGGTACCTATCGGATACAGGGTACACTTTGAACTAACTACATTAATATGTGCCTACATTTATGCGTACCCTTTCTAAAGGTCTGTCCCCCACAGGTACAGATCCCGGTACACGTATGGATGGCGCGTGTACCCTCGATACCTGTACCCTGTTGGGTATAGGGTACACTCTAGAGTTCGCGCGCTTGATAAGTCTGCTATGAGCTTTAGAGAGTACGTTCATTCTGCTGTTTTCATTCAGCTACCTAGGGTTTTGCGACACCCTGTATAATTATTTATGCTATACATGGTGTTAGGTAAATGGGTATATGAGCCGACACTAGCCCATGTTAACATGGTCATATAAATGGTATGGTGAAGTCAGAAATTTGATATCATCATTTTATTTATTTTTTAATTTTCATACAAAATAATATTTGTAAAATCCGATTTGTATGAAAATTAAAATAATTAAAATGAAGATATCAATTTTCTGACTTCACCATACCATTTATATGAACATGTTAACATGGGCTAGTGTCGGCTCATATACCCATTTACCTAATACCCTGTATATTTATATATTTTAACCACAGTCTTTTGTTTCAGTTGCGAGCGGTGGCGACTCACACAGGTAAGGAAAGAACGCCTTCGCCCGAAACCTACGCCAAAAAAACTAACCAAATACGGCCTTACCTCGACCAAGTAGTGCTGGGCGACTCTGGGCCTTATGTATAGCGACCTAAGGACGCTTGTGTGGTGCTGGAATGTTAGAATCTCGGAGAATCTCTTTAGAATACTTTAGGTTTGGTGGATGGTCTTATGTTGCATTATCTTAGATTAGAACAAAAATGGAAGATAATTTATGTTCCACAAATAAACATTTTTGATTTGATTTGACGGCATAAGCGTCTTCCAGCGACTTGGCCCACTTTTAGCGCGGACCAAGTTGCCGGATTGATTCTAGATAAACTGGATAATGTCCTAAGACAGAGATGGAAAACCTTTATGTTACAACGTGCCATAAAAATTTACAATTTTTTCTACATCAAATTCCATATTGAACTTTGTGATCGGTGGCGTGCCCAAAATGTGTCAAAGTCAAAATTCCTTTATTTGCATGGACTATTAAATAGTGTTTACAAATCGCCAAATATTAAAATAAAAGACTAATAAAAAAAACTTAAAAATTTTGCTCTTTAAGCAGCCTTGTGTGCCATCATTGGCACGCGTGCCATAGGTGTGCCATCCCTGTCCTAGGACATCATTTTTGACAGCTCACAATCGGTCTGACCTACGCTATACGCGCGCGCAAAGCTTTGTATATTTTAAAAGTGGACGAACAATTTAATTATAAAAAAATAAAAGTCCATGGCATCTATTTTTCCTTTATAAAATACAATAAAATTGACACTATCTGACGGTGACATTCGCCATATTGTCAAGGAATGTTTTTTCCATTAAACGTATCTTCCCTTTTTGTTCTAATCTAAGTGCATTATGGATGTCGTGCTGTGATGATGATGATGGTGATTTGTTGTAGCTAGGTGATGAACTTTATTAACAGTATTAATGATATTTACCGACTTTAAAAAAAAAGGAGGTTCTCAATTCGGTTGGCAAGCAGGTAGGTATATTAGGTATGTTTTTTTATTTACTATTTTGTCTCAAAATCTTGTGTCTACAGACTAATAACGGTAATAACTAATTGCGGTAGTAGTAATAGGCATGTTTTCAATTTTTTATTTTGGTGTTTGAAAGATAGTTTGAAAGATTACTTCGGTAGTATTAAAATTCCCCGAGATATCACTCTTTGAAAATCTCATTGACGTTCCCAAAACGTCAAATGTCATGACGTCACGTGTTCGGCAGCTATATTAAATATTATTTCCAAAGCTTTTTTTAACACCTCATGTCGTCACATCGTGTAAGGAATTTGTTCGGCAACTATATTAAATATTGTGTTTTCACAATAAGGCAAAGATATAAATTTTGTCATATTCAATAGCAATGATTCATAAGGAAAAGAAGAACTATCCAAAGGGTTCTTTTATTAATTTAATAGTAATAGGGCCAAAATCGTAGTGTTGCTTGTCGCGGGGACAGATTTTTAGCCAACTTCGAAAAAAAGAAGGATCTGAGTTTGAGCTGTAAGTTTCTCCTCGATTATAAATTTATATAAATAGATGATAAGCTTATCATCATCATCATCAAAGCACGGTGATGCTTCTTTTGATGGTAAGAAGACTGTGATCGTGCGAGTATTGATAAGTGAAACGTTTTATAGTGTACCGAGGTGCGTTGGAGATGTATTTTTGCATTGTGATGCATTGCGCCATCTGTCGGGCATAATAACAAGCTGTCACAGAACCACTGGATATTTATTTTATATTTAAAAAGAATTTTAGTATTTTTTTTGCAAAAATTACTATTATTCCCGGTTTTTTTTTAAAGATTACAAGTTTTTTTATACACAGATTACTAAAAAAAATAGGCATTCAATGTCTCGTGGATGGGATTTTTTATCTTTAAAATATTTTATAAATTGTATATCAATTTTGGTACTTGTTTGAAACAAAATTAAATATTTCGTGGATTGTCTGTGACAGCTTGTATACTAAAATCCTGACAAAAAGTGTCTAATAACATAATAATTATCAGCTATGTGACATAATAACAATGAACAAATAAATGTGCCAGTAATAATATTTAGTGAAAGAACATGCCTTTGCATTTTGTTTTGCTTTAAAAAACATAAGTACAAATATATTTAACTAGCTGACCCGGCGAACTTTGTTCCGCCTTAATGGCAATAAATAAGCAGATTTTTTTTTTATTTCGAACGGGATAAAAAGTATCCTATGTCCTTCTCCTGGCTCTAAACTACCTCCCTGACAATTTTCAGCTAAATCGGTTCAGCCGTTCTTGAGTTATAAGCGAAGTAACTAACACGACTTTCTTTTATATATATAGATTATACTGGCTATGATATCAAATTAAATAAGTACATATTTACACGGAATTATATTATTTTGTTGTGTAAAAATTGGTTGTATATTAACGTATATTATTATTATTATATTGATTAAATTCGTTGCTTGTTTCGTTGAATAATTCTGAAGTTATTTCTAAAATATACGTCAGGTCCTGTTTATTATTATTACTAATGCTTTCTATGATTTTATATGAAAGGAAATGTAAACATTTTTATTATTAATGTGCTGTCATTGTTTTATTTTATTTAATTTAAATGTTAGAGAGTAAGATATCAAATTTTCTATATAAGTCTAACGATGGAAGTAAATATTTAATAAGATTTTGTTACATACCGTAATTGAGCCATAATTAACAAATTTTTAGTTTATTTATGGTTTGAAGTGTTGCTTACATGATGGCTGACAAAATAATAAAGAAATAGAAATAGATAGTAACTGAATATAAAAATATTGTTTCCAATATTACGCGGTGCATTGGGCTTTTAAGATTCCTAAAATCTACATGCACCATTCAAATAAATAAAAATTATAGCTTCACTGTTATTATTTTCATAATAATAAATGAGAATAATAACTCCACATTATTATTTTCATTTATTTCAGTCATTTTGTAGGCAAACACTTAAACGCACTTTAAACGTAGTCTGTGCTCGTGAAAATATTAAGTGCAAGCGGAATTGTTCTCTAGTATTATGTATTTGTACACAAAATTGCTTGCGCTAAATATTTTCTCAAGTATATTATGCTTTATTGGGTTTGTTGGGTGTATTGAATTTATACTACTTCATTATTATACGGTTAAAGTTTTCAGGAACATACAGGGTGTAAAAATAAGGGAGGTTTATAGGAGTGGTTAAGAACCAATCAAAGAAAGAGGAAAATTACAACTCTGATATTTAAAAATGTAATTGACAAGACTAAGTTTTTGTAGATATGCTGAACTGAAGAAAAGATAACGACAATTTTATCTGGATAAGAATTCAAATAAAAAACTGTCCGTTTTTTAACTACATTCTTACTCCGTTCTATGATAGATTCTTGGCCTTACAGTTGGATCCCTGTTTTTACACCCTGTATACATATCTACAGAATAGGCATGCATGGGCTAAGCATTAGTGCCTTAAGATTTGCAACCGTGCAGTGCAATGCTTCCAAAATTACAATGGGTTAACAATACATAGCTTTGTATGTGCACTTACATCATTACATAATCTAGCGAAAATATCATAATCATTAACTAATAATGGGATATGCTTTATACATGATTCATATACAGGTAGTGTGAAAGGGATGGGGTAGAAATATATTTATTTTATAAATAAAAATATAGTCTCTAGAGTAACTTATTTATTGGCACTACAATTTTCTTTCATTTTTCACTTGGAGTGGGTTCATTAGATTTTTTTTCGTATAATATTTTTGAACTCCCTGCGAGTTATTTTTACGAACAACTTTAAAACAAAAAAAAAAAGTTTCAAGGTCCAAATTACTTGTGATATTCCAACCTCTCCCTTACATCCTGTGTATATTTTATGTATACGCGCTTTACATTCTACTCTACTCTACACTAACATTTTACATATCTTTCATTGTTCACTGTTTCTTTTTATTATGTTCAATAATACAGTTTCACGTTGTCACTATTCGAAACGTTATGAAAAGATAAACCGAAATTTTTACAGTTTTTAGAACTTTTGTGGAAAATTTCCTGGGTTTTATACGGTAAAATTACATAATTGCGGTAAAAATACAGCTTGCTTTTTGTAAACATTTCAATAAATTAAGGAAGTTAATAATTGAGGTAAATATTTGTCTGTCCGCTATTGTCGTTTTTCTTCGTTTTAAATGGGTTCTTTTTTTATTTTTTATGGGGATGTCAGGATTTTTATGCTCTTTTTTGTTTATTTTCTTTTTTAATCCTTTCCAGATTAAATTGGAGCGAGAAAATACGTACGTATTTTACAAGTATCTTCGGATGATTGTAAGTCAAGAATGCTAGGAAAAAAAATATTTTTATTTTGTAAAAAAACATCTAATCTCAAGCCAATCTAGGCAACTTCGACTGATTTATACTCAATTTAAGACTAGAAGATTATTTATTGAGAAAGAAAAATAGGTCCATTATCTTGTGTTCAGTATTTCCCTTTAGGTAAGTCTTTTTAAATGTTTTACAAGTAATATCACTCACGCGTTGGTTAAAAATATAGCAAATGTGCGAAAATTCTTAAAATGGTGCCATTTTAATATCGTTTTATTAAATTTGTACATAAAATCAATTTTAAATTTATATTTTTTTACATTGTGAATTTGGGCTTCCCGTTTTAAATTGTTTATTTAGTTTTTAGCATTTTTTTGCTTTGATTTATATCAATGTTTTCGTGTATATACAAATATATTTTTTTTATTTTGTTATTCATAGTTAGTAGTATACAGGATGTTATGAACGATTGGCTTAGCTCAAATAATTTTCCCGAAAATAAAAATACTTTTTTTATCTCCACAATTAACTACATTTTGCCCTCGTGCCAGTGATTTACTGTTATTTATCAGTTAAAGTAAGAAAAAAACGTTGAAAATATGTAAAAGAAACTGGGAAATAATCCACAATTTCCTAGTATGATCTAAGTTGTACATTTTTTTGTCAATTTGTTCCTTCCATCCTGTATACGAAATATAACGCTAAATATACATAATCAAAGGAAAAGCTAAATACTCGTCTTGATTATTACAATCAAGTGCAAAAACTTTTATTGAGATTATTTTTTTAATGTAGCTGAAAGCTTTTAAATCTTTATTTGTGAAATTATGACTGTGTTTGTTTCATATTATTTCTAAATGTGAATGTACCAGACTTTATAAAATGTATTAAAAAATGAATCTTCAAAAAATATTGGTAGGCGGACAGACAAATCGAAGTACTTCCCATATTTTAACGAATAGTTCTCACACGAAAATCTCTATATATTTTCTTATTTTCATTTATCCATATTATATTTCTTTTCTATTATATCCCTCTGTAATTCACCACATTCCCTATTTTTATTCAAACTATTCCCCTCCCGAGTTGACGGCTTTAAAGCGATGGGACCGTCTAAATTGTATAAGGTACTCGTGATTGACAGTAAAAACCGCCCAAACAAAAGGAAATACGTACATACATAGTCTAAAATTGGAAAGAAACAATGTATAAATGCATTCCAATATTTTTTAGACGAATTTATTTTTAAATCAATTTTTTAACCCAACCTTGAGGATCACCGGTGAGCCCCTTAAAAGCGTTTTTTCACTTTTTTGTACTAAGGCCCATAATGTGCCAGCTTCATCCACCAATTCCAACATTTGGCCCAATTACTATATCGATTGGCCCACATACGAGATTCCATTAAAGGCATCTTCATATTCAATTTAATACTCGTGTCGTTCACCCATTAATCATGTCACACTTTTAATCTCGCTGATGTGTTTAACTAATATAATAGATCGATGTCCTATGATAAAAATATACAAGGTTACTTGGAAAATATTAATAACCATGTTTTTGGCTCTAAACACAAGGTTTGAATATCAAATAGGGTGGTAGTAATTATATTACTACTGCCTATTAAAGTTTGGGTCAATTCTGATTCATATTTAGTTTCGCGATACCAGTGCGGGCAAAATGTATATTACAAGTTTTGCTCGTATACTTACTGCATTGTTAGTGCACTACTCTCACTGAACAATATTACTGTATACAAATTGATATATCCACCTGATCATTACTTTCCATCAGGTGAGATCCAGGCCAAGAGCTTCTCCATTAAGGGTAAAAATATAGCATGATCAGAGATTTAGTATGAAGTGATGACTGAAAATTCGATTTAAACCTCACTAAAATTGTGCCAGAATCGACCGTTGTTACCCATTGTTAATTTACAAGTAACCCTGTATATATAAATTTCGTGTATTTATCTCTTTATATAATTCTTAAATTTGCTCTTCTAAAAATATGTTTGCATTTTGGAGGCATTGCAAAGCACAATAGATACATAGTCATTTGTATATAAAATGTAGGTTTTTTGTACAGTAGGTAATTACATAATTATGACTTCAGAGAAGGAAGGATTATCAGCTGACATATAAATAGTAAATATTTGACAGCTAAATTGCTAAATTCCGGTCGCCGAGCAGATAGATTTCGTCCAATGACCCCAAGCTACCCATCCTTATCACTCGCACGTAATTATATTGCTGTCGTGACTGTGCGACGGGCGGCCGCAGTGAATGTGCAAGCGCGACAGCAATATAATTACACGCGAGCTATATGGAAGGGTAGCTTGAAGTCATTGGACGAAATTCTCTCTGCTCGACAACCGGACTATAAGTATAAAGTTAAATGTATACCGGTGAAATTACGTTGAAATAAGAATTTACACTTGACAAATTACGAGTGCTTGTGATTGGTAAAAAAAATTCAAATTCAACCAATAACAGGCTTGATTTTCATTGAGGGTAGTTTTAAAATTTAAACGTTATACTTTTGTATCCATCCCTGTCGATCAAAGCGAGATGCTGCCATAAGAGATAGAGGTAGGTAGATCTAAAATACGATATCGACTTTAGAAAACAAAATAAATAAAATAAGGGCTACCTTTTCTTTTTTTGTTATTTACATTTTGACGTTCATAAGTGCCACTTGTGGTCTAAACTTTGATTTAATATTAACATTAAAAATAGCAGGTCTCATTACTTGAAACAAGTATACGTAAAAATACATCCATGGTCCATTACATAAATAAAAAAACTATACAATTAATTCCATTCTTACCATTGAAGTTTGTAACATTGTTGATGATACAAAAAATATTAAAAAAATACGAGACTTTTCACGTTTAGTGCCAAACAGCACTTAAAAATTAATAATAGCCATCCAAAAGTAAAAGATTCCTTAGTTATTACAATGTCATAGACCAAGGGATGTGATCAATTTTTATAACTGTGCTCTTGCCAATGACAATTTTTGACATGGCAGGCAACTTTGGTGATCACGTGACATTGGCGAAATCATGGTTGTGTTAAAGTCGCCATAAAAAAGAACAAGAAATACTCATCAGTTCAATAGAGCTCTGTGATTGGTTCATGTGTCACCCTGTGCGTCCACGCGTACTGTGAGACATAATAATATTTGTAAATACGGGCGATAGTTATTGTCTGTTGAGAAAGGTCACTGTTGCTATCTTAACGACTAACAGCACAGTTATAAATAATTGTTTATGTCATGTTTTTGTATCATTACTAGATGTAAACAAACATATTGGCAATGTACTAGACTTTAACCGTTACGTCCTCGATGATAGTTAGATAGGCGCAGTCAAACTGCGAGTTGTAGGTTAAGGTCAGGTGAGTTAGGCCGGGGCTACACTGAAGGCGAAAAATATACAAGAAAAAATAGATTAAAATAAAAAAAAATACTCAGGGACGCTTACCTGTTGCTTACCCTACCTTTTGCTTTACCGACTTAAAATATTTTTTATCGGCAATATATTTTTTTAAACCACATAACATGTGATGAAAAAAATAAGTTAGTTATAATTTTTTTACCTTGTCAATGACAAGGGAAAATTCTTTTTTAAGACATCTTTCCTAATTTTGATCTCCAAATGTTAAAAAAAAACATTGCTTAAAAACTAAAAGAAAAACAAATGTGTAAAGGAATATTTTAAAATGATGATGTGCGCCTTTAGTTTACTAGCTACCAAATTGTTTACTAGATTTTTTTATTGGTGATTTATAAAAAAATAAAAAATACTTTTACATTATCCGCTGATAGTCAAGCCCCGACTTTACTGTAGCCCCAATAGTAGGTAGTTCAGTGAGAATGTGATTTGTAAACTCAATAATTATGATATTAAAATAACTCTCTTCATTAAAAAACTACATCGCGCTCGAAGTAATGTAAGATAAATTAAGATCAAAGTAAAAGGAACGTTATGTACATTATTTAAAGGATAATTTTGTTTTAAATTTCTTCGGTCGGGTAAAATCTACTATTTTCGACATACGAAATAATTAAAATTCCCTGAAACAATTTTGAACTTCATGTCTTTGAAATTAGATCCCAAGTTGATTGAGGGTTTTTTGGAAGGTTCAAAATATATCCTTATTCGTATTTTATTAGGATTTAAGTTGTGACATTTTTAAATGCAATTTAAAAAATAAGAAATGTAATGCCCAATTTCGTAAAACGGTCTCTCACCACAATGCTGTCTGGTTTTTGATGCAATTGAATTGAAAACAATGAAAGCCTTAAACTACACTGGTCATCACAAAAATCGACCCTCCCGCGACAAGCAATTTCAAACGTATGCATCCCCACTTCCCACCAATATTGGCACCATTTAAAAGCCTAGTTCTAAACTTAATTTCATTAAAGGAAAGGTTTTTACCCCAAAAATGTGTCTGTAGAAGAATCCAGAGTCACTTCTTCAAAAAATAGGCAGTTACGCTTGAGCCAACTTTTTTATGGCTATAAAACTGTTACGTTGGGATTAATCGCTATCCATCTGTTAAAGAGGACACGTGAGATCATTATTTGGTTTTATAACCATAAAAATTGGTCTAATTGATCCCAGAGGAGAGCCCAAAGTGAGGTCTTTTTTCAAGTCACATTTATGTATTGTATATCGCGTTTATGTTAATCGTTTATTAAGAAATTAAATGTGTTTTTCTTTAAGGATATTTATTGGGCTTTCAAATAAAACCAATATTGTTGTGGCACCATGATTGTGTCAGTAGAAACGAGTTTTCCTGTAAAACGTAGGTGGGCCGATTTTTGTGATGACCAGTATAGTAATTAGAGTTAATATAAAAATTTAGTTATTAAAGTTATTTGCGAATTAACGCCAGCGTTTCTACCTAAACCGAATGATTTTTTTTCAATTGATTTTGAAACTTATTGGGATAAAGTTAAAAATCAATTGGATTACCAGTAAATTGACATCTTTTAAAACATAAACTTCCTATTAAATATGCATTAAGTTTATATTTATATTTGATTAAATATAAGTATTTTTTATGTATAAATCTTAAAAATTCGTATAGTTTATTTTATTTATAATTAAGTATTTATACCTACGTATATAAACTATGTAAAGCTCAATAGATAAGCTAGACTTCTTATGTAACGGCCACTAGCAGATCATGAACTTTTAATCTTTGTTTTAAGGTTTAAAATCGAATGAGCAGTTTTGAAATTTTGTAGTAGCTCAATAATATGGCAAGGTTACTAACAATGGCACATAGATTTACATATTGAAGCACTTTATTAAGTTTATTTAGTTGTGAAAGGT